TTCAATTTTAATTCAGTATGCTGCAAACTGAGTACAAAATCATTCTCTATTTATTATTCTCTATTATTCATTATTGATTAATCTGTCAATCATTTTCTTCATTAACCAAATAATTATTTAGTGTATAAGATATCTAAAAAAATTGTGAAAAAATGGCATTCACAATTGCTCACAGTCCATGGTGATGTCTTCAGTTTGCTTGTTGTGTCTGTCCAGCAGTCCAACGCTAAAGATTATAAATTTACTGTCACTCATGACAAAGAAATGCAGCAAATCTTCATATTTGAGAAGCTGAAACCAGAGAATATTTAAAAAATGACTAACAGGTATTTGACTATAAAAATAGTTGCATTTTCTCTTGATAATCAACTAATCAACTAATCATAGCTCTTCTTTTTTGTTATTCCATGCATTCTTCTTCCTTAGTGAAACCTGGCACCTACATTACCCACAATGCAACTTAACCACTGACAGTTTGGTCAGTAGCATCTAATGTAGCCTCAAGCCCTACTGCTCTATTCGAAAAGTGCCTTGAGAAAACGTCTGTTGTGATTTGGCGCTATACAAATAAAACTGATTTCACTCGACTGACTTGATTGTGGTAATTTATTAGCGGTGTCTCCACGACAAAGTTTGTCCAACAGAGTACATTCATTTTTACACTGTAAATTGTGCCACTTACCGATCTTGGTCACAACTAATTTACGGGAGCTGTAGAAAGATTGTCATTTAGGTTATGTGTTTATGGTATAAAAAAATCATTATCAACAAATATATTGTAATCGGATTTTTTAAGGTCCCAAATATTGATTGGTATTGGTCTTTACAGGAGTGGCCCGGGTTTGATTCCAGCCCAGGAGATGCTGCACGTAATCTGCTCTCTCTGCTCTACCTTCCCTGTCTCTCTAATACACTATCAAATAAAGCAGAAAGCGTCAAAGAATCTAAATCTAGTATTGATTGTGCTACACCACAGACACAACACTGACTTAAGTGACATCACAGTTTCTCAGATTTTGCACAGCTCTCCCCAAGACCTGTGAACAGAGTTGAATGTGTAATGAGTTCACCTTTCAATGACCCGCAACGGAATAAAACTAGCTGCTTCTCATTAGCAGTTTTCTTCATCTTTGAAGATGCTATAATCTGTATTTTTATATTAACAACTCACATAGAATTATTACACAACTCTGTTCCACTGAACTCTACAGAGCTTCTTTATAACCTCCTTCAGCTTTTGGTTTTGCAGCCCGCAGCTTTACTGTTTTGAGTCAGTGCTCTCATTAACTCTGTTTCCAGCAGCTGTTTTCAGAGAGAAGGCTCTGAAAATCAGCGGCACACTCCCTGCTCAGCATCAAAACCCCAGACAGACACAGCTAGAGACTAGTTGGTAGAGCACGTGGAACATTTTGCATCTAAAAAAAACTTAAAGAGCAGAAAAAAATTAAACAGTAATTGTGACATGTGCAAAGGTTTGGGCACTGGACTAAGTCAGTACAGATTCTTTTTGGCTTTACTTTCTTGATTGACTGCAGAACATTTGCATCCACAATTTGCTGACATTTAGTGGAATGAGCCAATCTTCTTTCCATCTGTGCATTATTTCCTCTACCACCAGCTGCTCCATGACCTCAAAGAAGAATATTTTCATCCTCATGTCACAATTAAAGTTGAATCTTTTCAAGTTCAAAATTAACATTTGAAGTTCAATTTTTTTATTAAGTCTGTTTTCTACCGGGGTTGCTTTTACTGTTTTCACCCTAAAAAAAATAAATAAATAAATAAAAATCACCAAAATATGCGATTTAAACAAAGTTTTTTCACGCAGCTGTCTCCTTGTACAACCCACAGTAATATAATACAAGTGACTGAAGCAAACCATGTTGGACTTCTGTTGACCGGTGTCACCTGATTTAACTGTGGTCACTTAGGAGCTGTAGTTTATAGTGATGCTGCACTGCGTCACACTGTAAATACATTTCTGCTGTATTTCCTTTATAATTTAGACTCATAAAAGGAGCGTATTAGAAACAGCTGAGCGTGATGATGAGCTAAATGCTACTGTCCGCTTCTCACCGTTTATCATTAACAGGAGCTAGTTAGCTGGTTAGCATGATGTGTGGGAGAAGAAGACGTTACACCGTCACTTTGATAGATCTAATTAAATGTTTAAAATCTCACCTATGACCTCTGTTTCATCGCTGTTGCCTGCTGCTGTAGCACGACACACAGCCGGAGGTGAAAACCTCTAGCTGACCTCTTCATCTACATCCATGATTTACACCTCTGTCAAGCTAGACAACGAGTATGAGTGGGCTTCCGGGAAGTCTTATCAAAATAAGAGTTGTGTTAAAGATAACAATAAAATAAAATAAAATAAAATAAAATAAAATAAAATATATTCAGAGAAAATAGAAAGGATTTTAAAAATGCTGTGATCATATGTACCCCCCTTTTGATTATTTAGATTTTTTTTGGTCTGTGATATTCATATCTCATTCACAATAAATGTTAAATCCACGTGTGATTTTGATTTTTTTTTTGATAAAAAATACTACAACTAAAAATAATAAATTTAACAACAATAATGGAAAATATTAACTCCCCAAGATTGCAAAAATCATGAGATCATGAGAAAGAAAGTTTAAAATAATCTTAAAAATCTTTATCTATCTCTCTTTATTAATGACAATAGTAAAAGTATCAGGCCTTTTTTCTGTATCATTTATATATTCCATTTACATTTTTTCTAATCTATAATAATACTACTTATATGGTACAGTAGTAAATTAGTATTGTACGTTACAGTGGGCAATGCCTGGACAACTTACTCCCCCCGACTCCTATATAAGGTCAAAATGATTTTGAGCTCCTAAGTTTGTAGTTGTAAATCAACCTCTGTAAAGCTATAAAATAAATCTGCATGAAAAATTCAAGTTCATGCATGTGAAAAAAAATGGTGCTTAGCAACAAGATCTGTATTTGTTCAAGAAGAATGTGAAACAAAACAAATGAACAAATGACCAGTGGTGAGGTTAAACAAAGACACAGGGAAAGAAGAAATGCTTTTGTGGACGTCTGTGTACAGAGATAAAGAGCAGAAAACTGTAAAACCCAGAATACAACGCTCCCAGTGTGTGACACTGACAAGTACAAATATTGATCCTTGTAACTTCAGTGTGTGGGAACTTCAGAGCATGGTGTTTCACAGTTTTCTGCTCTGTATCAGTACACAGATGTTGACAAAACCATTACTTCTTTTTATATGTCTTTGTTTAACTTCAACTCTTGTAATTTGTTCATAGTTTAGATGTTGCGGGGGACCATAAGCAACCATAAGGTGTGGTTCTGGCCTGAGTTGGACTCTTCTATCCCCATGAAAACACATAAAGACAAATAAGGAAATTTCAAGCAGCTCTTCTTTTGACTATGAAATGTTTCTGAAGCCTTCTAAGGACTTAAGAACACAAAAGATTTATCAGTCATCCATTTAAACCTCATTTAGCATATGCTGTAATAACAATTAATCTTTGTGAATGATTCTACAGCAGAGATGAGGGTAACAGAACAACCTCTGATTGGACTCTGCTTTGTGGTTGGATTGTTGTTGTCCAATCAGATTCGGGTGAAAAATAGGATCTAAATTCTACTTGTAAGCTCAGTGTCACACACTTGGTGGGAATTTTGAGCACCAAGTTTTACAGTTTTCTGCTTTGTACCTGTACACAAACATTGACAGAAGCTCTTTTTTCACAGTGTCTTTGTGTTACCTTATCACTAATGTCATTCGTTCAGCTTTTCTTTTTTTGATGATGAACGAATACAGCAGAAAAACATACACTATCTTAATTGTCATAGTGTAAAAAAGTCAAAGGCTTGCTTTCATTAGTCAGGCTACTGAAGCTATATAGCTGACTTTGAGCCACTGGGGGAAATAAGTTACTCCACTGAACCCATAATCTACAGTAGCTGTGTAGTGTATCCCTGTAACAAGTCTCATCCAGATTTTGAATTGGGTATAAAGTTTAAGATTTGAAACATTAATTTTGGTGTAAGAAATTACATAAACAGTGTCAGAGCCCCATTAATTGTGACAGAGCTAACAGGGATGATGTTACACATTTTAAAGTTCTCCCCTTTTTTAACTTTAGAGGAGAGTACTGCATGTTCACGAATATTCACCAATCTGTTCTGGGGCACAGGAATAAGAACTGTGAATAAAGGGTTGGATTCTCCTTTAAATGCACAATCCATGATTATGATATAATGTTTCCACCCTCACAGCATCTGGTGCAGAAACATAACAGGCTAAAATTACAAAAATTAAAGTCATTATAGAAGCCTATTGGGGACTTTATTATTATTTAAATGAAAAAGTAATTCCATGAAAGCAATTTAATTCTAACACATGTACGTGTTCTAGGATTACACTCCACTTGACTTTATGAATATGAACAAAGCAGGAGAAGCAGTCAGCAGGTTTCAATTAGTATTTAATATTTTTGCTTGCAGTCAGTCAGGTGTGAGTAGTTACAGCTGAGTGGCCAATTTCTAGAAATGAAAGAAAGCGTAGACACAGGTTAAATTCTATCATATTATCAGTACATTAATACATTCTCACTCTAAATATATTATTATGTGAGAACAAACCAGGGAGATTAGATGTACTACTTAACAGTAAAAATGGCTTGATACAGTAAATATTGCATGTAGCTGCTGTGAATGGGTAGAAAAAAAATTTCCCTGGGGGGAGCATGTTCCCTGAATATAGACTTAAATTGGGGCTATGCCCCAAATGTTTACAATGTCTGGCTCCGCCCCTGCTGGTTTGTAGCCTGTTCACCACAATTACTGTTTGGCACGTACAGACAGCACTGTGCTCTTTTCTTCATTTTTTTAACTCCATGAAATAAAAAAGCAACAGTGCATTAACATTTGAATTTTTAATGCCTGTTTGCTGCAGGGTTTGCAGGGTGCGCAAACTTTTGCGTTTAACTAGAACTACCTCCCACCACCAGGGGGCAGCCGCAGCAGCAGCCAGACCTGTAACAATAACAGGAAACTAATTTGTTTATGAGCCGCCACGTCCGGTTCGTCACAGCTGCTCTGTTTTCCATTTACTCCGGGGACGTTTCTGCTTAAAATCCGTCTCTGTTTTTGTCTCCATCGCTTTCTAATGTTCAACAAACTTTGCTGCACGTACCGCTAACGCGTCCGGAAGAGTTTAACTGCGAGACATCTGTGTGGAAGTCCCGGTGTTTGTTCTGGCGGGCTTCATCAGCCTTAGCCTGTAGCGTTAGCCCGCCGCTCTGAACAGCGATGTCCGCGGACAGAGTTTTTCTTTCTGCGTATTTCGACTGTTGACTCGAACCGGAGGTCCGCCGTTCATTATGGCGAGTGAAAACACCGACACCAACGCGGGAAACGATGAGGAAACCGGTCATGCATCCGAGACGAATGAGCACGATTATGCGCACGCCGCGGACACTAACTTTCCTCCCACAGAGGCGCCTTCATTCTCCGGTACACCGGCGGATGAGAGCGGAGTCACCGCTCAGGAAAGCTTTTCTACACCGGCTGAACACGAACAGAGCACACCGGGGCAGCCCACCGCTTCTCTACCGGTAGAGCTACCCGAACCGGTTGTTGGTGCAGAGGTGGACTGTCCCGGTGGAAATTATGTGGAGGCTTCCTCTCCACCGCCGCCGCCGCTGCAGACCGAAGACGACCCCCAAAAGACTGCAGCGTCTGAAGTTCCCGCTGCCACCACGCTGCCTAGCAGGGGCGGTGGCCGCCGGCGTACCAAGCGGCCGGAAGACAAGAACTGCTCCTGTTGCAAGTCTGAGTTTGAGCGGCAGGGTCGCAGCTTTAACCGGAGGGCGGTGTACACTTTCACCACCCCGGAGACCGTGCAGTGGGCCTTCCCGGACTCTGTGGTGCACGAAAAATCCTTCCTGTGCGAGACCTGCGCGCAGGTGATCCGGAGCAAAGGCAAGCGCAAACAGACCGGGAAGAGGTCTCTGTGGCTGAAACCGCCTGCCACTAAACAGGTGTGTGTGTGTGTGTGTGTCTCCCTGATGTTATCGCAGTATGCCTGTATCACAATCAAGAGGATGCGCCCACATCAGCCACAGTCTGTCTCTTCACTGTGTTATCAGCACACTCAAGTCACAGAGTTCAAGATAAGTCGACACGGAAGACATTTGAGGACACTTGATCCTGTTTTAAAGGTTTTTCCAGAGTCCTCAAAGGCTTTTCTGTCCAGAAATAAACAGCCTGGACTTTTAAAGTGGGTTCCAAAGATAGGCACAAGTCAAATCTTTTTGAGTGATACAGCATAAAAGTGTTACTATGTGTAAAAACAGAATGTAATGGAAAATATAATTAGTATACATGAATATAGGTGATAAAAACATTTAATTTCACATGGTACAAAGGAAGAGATGAGCCATGTCAATTTTGGCACCTTTGTTTAGATTGTGAAACAAATTTTGGGCATTTTTTCTATGGGTCACTGAGAGATAGACAAGAGAGAGCGGGAGGATGACATGCAGCAAAGGGCTGGGTCGGATTCAAGCCCATGGCCGCTGTGGTTAGGACTGAGCCTATGTGGTACGCACCAGGTGAGCCACGAGGCGCCTCATGAGTGAATCATTTCGAGCACAGCTGTGAAGTATAGTATCTTGATCTGTTGTTGATGGGCTAAAACAAACCTAACCACCAGCATGATTGTGTTTTACACTTGGGACTCATAAAGAAGTTTCGAATAATGTTCTCCCCTATGTGTCCTTGGTGTTGGGTTGGGGGCTGCAGCCAGACGGGAGGGACAAAAAGAAGAAAGGCCGCAGGATGGGGAAGAAGAGCAAAGCAGCGATGCTGGTGAGCAAGTCCTGCTACAAGGCTGCTTTCAAAATGCTGTGGTCCGCTAAAGGCGCCAGGAAGCCCATGATGGAGTTCTGGAGTAAACAGCTGAAAGAGGAGGTGAGGCTGGGTGCTCCTGTTGGTCAGGACAAATGGCTTTAGTCTTCATAACGAGCATTCGTTTTGTTATTGTGTAATGTTGACCTGTTTCCTCTTGCGGTGCAGATGAAGTTATTGTCGCGACACGCAGATAGTCCCTTTCATCAGAAGGTGTCAAGCAGGAAGCCGCTGTCATCCTTCCCGTGGCGACGATGTCTGAACTGGGCCCAGGACAAAGCTCCACTCGTCACCACCTGCCTCCGCTCGCTGTTCCCCGACGTCAACGCCCTCTCCAAGAGCAGCCAGTAAGTTTGAGTTCATGCCGTCCACAGAGCTTCGACATGGTTCTTCATGGCCCAGAAAAGATGAGCATCTGTTCTGTTTGTTTGTGTGGCAGCCAGATGTCGGAAGACCAGGCACAGACACTGCTGGAGCGCCGAACTGTGGTGGCGCTCTCCGTCCCGCTCTTCACCAGGAACATATGGAAGAACAACTTCATGCAGGCGGCTCTGGGGGCTGAGCTCCGGCTGCAGGGCTGCTCTGGCTCTGCACTTGACGCCCTCAACACCATGGGGCTGTGTCAAAACAAGGACACTGTCAGGTTACTGCTGCACAGGCTCCGAAACGGCAAGAAGACAGTGAGTATCATGACCAGTGGTGCCGGTAGTGAAGGGCTCAAAACTAACTTTGCAGCACACAGATGAATCACTGCGTTTTACTGGAACATGTCACCACACAAACGGTCCTGTTGCTGGAAATACTCACCACAACAATAAAATGAATCATAATCCCTTCTGTTTGAATAATGCTTGAAGACACCAGGCCGACCATTTAACATCTGACAATATCTTACATTGTTAACTAATGACAACAACCAAGGCTTTCTTAAACCAGCAGCATTACTCACAGCCTCCATGTGACTAATAGCGACTGAATAACTGGCATGTTCACTCGCGTTAAGTCGGTCTGTGTGTGGCGTTTTCCTGAGGATGAATCTTTAGTGATCCTGTGACTTTCCATCAAGTCGTCGGGTCAAAACTTTCACAGCTTATACACGAGTTCATGTCAGGACTCATCTAAACCTAATGAACTGTCGGCCTCGGCTTAAACTGACATCACCCGACTGATGAACGCATTTTGGGAAATTGTCATGGGCACTTTGTACTATTTTCATTTTATGGAGCAAATATGATAATTTATTCATTTAGTTATTGCAGGTTTCATTCATTTATTATTTAGCTGATACTGTTTGAGCTACAGGTTATATTTTTACCCTGCTGCTGGTAAAGATCTGAGAATAGCAAAGTTTCTCTTTATTTTTCATCCACCGTCATTAAATCTACTGGTTTGTAATTATTGTTTCAGCCACACGGGGGCGTTAGTCTATGGTTTAGTCTCATTTCTTAACTTTGTGCTGTGTTTTTGTCAGCAGACACAGAACGGACGACAAAGGATAAAGCTGAAACAAGAACAGATGAAAGGAGAGCAGATGACAGATGTGGAGGAAGAAGAAATTGAGGAAGAGGAAGACGAGGAAGTGGAGGAGGAGGAAGATGATGAGGATGACGTAGAAGTAGATTTAGAAGAGGAGGAAGACGAAGAGGAGGAGGAGGAGGACGAGGAAATAGAGATGGCAGTAGAGGAGGAAGAAGTGGAAGAGGAAGAGGTGCAGGATGGAGTGCAAGAAGAAGAAGATGAGGAGGAGGAGGAAGAGGAGAATCGTGCAGCAGAGGAAAAAGAAGAGAAGAAGAGGAGGAAGAAGAAGGCAAAGAAGCAGAGGAAGGAGGAGAAGAGGAAGGAGAGAGGTAAACGAAAGGTGAAGGAGAGAGAGGAGGAGGAGGAGGAGGATGATGAGGGTTCGGAGCAGAAGAAGAGGAGGGTGGTGGTGGTGAGGCTCGGCCTGCTGAAGGGACACTCGGAGGTCGGACGATCCGACCTTTCAGCTCCCTAAGACATTGGCCACACCCACGGACTAAACAGGCCACGCCCCGAACCAGAGCAGGACAGAGGCCCTGCCCTTGTCTTTGGGTGGGGTTGTGAAAGGCATTCTGGGAAATGTAGTAAGTCAGTAACTGTAGAGGGAAACTGATGAGAGCTTTACTTAAATGGGATATTAAAAAAATCAGGTTGAGACAGAAATTAATTGAGGCCAGAAAAGCCTCTGAAACACAAAACCGCTTCACTGAACTAACAATAAAGCCACAGCTGATCGATCACATGATTATCTGCATCATTTTTACCCCTCGTGTGTCTCAGGTTACATCTCAGATTCACTATCAGAAAAACGACTTCCTCTCTTATTCTACCTTCCATACATACGGAGCAGCAGCTTCCAGAATACTTGTTTTTTTTTGTTTTGTTTTTTTTTGGTAAGATTCTCGTTTACAGGTCCCATCGTTTCTTGTTAATTAATACTAGAGAGGAACTGATCTGTAAATGTAAAATCTTACGAAGGTTTCTGAACAGAACTGTGTCATTTGGTGCTAAATATAGAGACAATGGTAGAATGGAGTTGAGTGCTATGTCCGGTTGGACGTTTTGCGAATACACCGATCTGTCTGATTGGTGTAAAATCGTAATAATTTGAAAATGGTTAAAAAAAAAAAAATTAACAAGAAAGTCCGTACCATACGAATTAAGTTTGATGATTTCATGTTCTGCTGTTCTGATACTAGAGTGCTGCTGACGGGTGTATCTGTATTTCACTATGAGACACAGTCAGTTTAGGTTTTATGCTGCTCCACGGTCATGTAATAGTTTTAAGATAAATAAAGTTTTAAGGATAAATAGACGGATAACAGTTAAGCACTTGAACCAAAACTGGCAGATTGAAGGATAAGTATGCTCGTAAACAACGACTGGCATCAACAACATCTGCAGCCTCTACCTCCTTAGTGTCCCTGTCTTTTGGTGACATGACTCACCACAGTCAGACTGTTAATCATTTTCTGATACCGTGAGCTTTTGTTCATAGTCCCTGCTGTGTCATAGACTCATGCATTATGTAATTTGTTTCACTTCAGTGTCTTAAAATCTACAATAAAATTTATTGGTGAAAATTGCAACCTCAGGTCATCCACATCCTTCAAATAAACGGAAAGTAATTATTTTTCTTTAATATTACAACTCGAGCTGCAGTGATCAGCTGATAAATTGATTAGTTAATCAGCGAAAAATAAATCTGCCACTATTTCGATAATCCATTAATCGTTAGGATTCATTCTCTGGCTTCAGCGGCTTCCCTGTGAGGATTTGCCACTCTTTGTTTTATATCATTGTAAATTAGGTAAATCTTTGGGCTTTGGACTGTCCATCACAAAATAAGACATTTGTCTTGTTGGACTATAGGAAACCATCATGGACAGTTTCACAATTTTTTGATATTTTATATAAAGCAACAATTGATCCATTGAAAAAAACAAATCAAAAATGAAAATATTTGTTTTTTTTTACAAGCCTCATTACAACTCAAAATACTATCACTTATTCTCATAAAATAGAATTTTTCCTCAAAATTACAAAATTTGCCACAAAACAATACGACATGCTCTATTATTAAGTTTCAGTGATCAGTCAGTACAGTTGATAAATTTCCAATTAATTGTTATGCTGCTTACAGACAAAACGCGCCTTGCGCTGCGCTCGCCGCTCGGTTCGGCGCGCTGTCCGGTGAAAAATGGGCGGAGTTTTCAAAACTTCTAGTGGGACCACGAGCGGGACACGTCCACGCTTTTGCGTTCCGTTGTTCAAAGATGTATCTTAGCTACAGGCTTTTAAAACCATGGATTGTATATCTTAAAACACACCTGACGTGCCTACTTGGTGAGAAATCTGTCGCCAAGAGAGGGCTTTCCTGCCGACGTCCCGATACAAGCGCAAGCTTGTATTACATATTTAGGGGTATTCTGAGACACACAGAATCAGTTTCTCCGCCATTATCGTTTTGCGCCGTTTTTCAATCACTGTGTTTCAATTGGCTGCGCGGATGGTCGTCAGAGCGCACGCGCTCGCCATTAGAAACGATGGGTTTCAGAGCGCAGCGGTGACGTTGCCGCGTTCTGTCTGTGAGCAGCTTTAGTTTAATGCTGCAGTTGAATATGGAAAACTATTCAGTTGTGTGTGGTTGTAAATTACAGGTAACCAACCAATAATTAATATTGCAAAGTCAATTTCTAATAAACAAACAGGTTTAAATTCATGTTTTTTTTTATTTTTTTTAACATTTTAAAGTTTTCTCAACTATTTGTAAATTTAACCAATCTGTGTCTCTTCTTCATCTCCTAGTGTCTTAAAACCATATGTACATGTACTCTTTCAAAAACATTTCACTGTAGTTAGCTCCAATTACCCTTTCTTTTTTCTTTTTTTTTACAAAAGCATTTCTGGCCTTCAGGGGGAAAACAAAGCTCCACTTGGTGGGAAAGTATGAGGGCTTCATGGAGGCTGGACGACCCCAAACATGCCTTGAATAAAGCCATCAGCGATCACCGATAAATCTCTGTAAATGTTTAAATGTCTGACAGGTATGTTACAGATGAGTGACCATCAGCAGCAGTCGCTTCTGTTCTACATGTTTATCCAGCTGCTGGACATTAAAGTGATGAAAATGGTTTTATTTTCTAATCCTGACTAGGGTTGGAATTTCTTCATTTAACGTCACAGCAGCTCTTTCATTTCAGAGTTTAGTTGTGCATCTCCTCTGTCATAAAGTTTATAAACTCACAGGAAGAGAATCTGGTTTGATATTTTTTTTTTATTTTCAACACTGTGGAAGTCTCAAGATGAGTCTGTTTATAGTCTGAAGCTGTGTGTGTTTCTTCTTTTAAATTGTTTCTGTGAGCTGAGTGGATGCACAGCTGATTGAAGGACCTGGGATATATCGCTTTATTATTTTTTTCTAATTGTCTGTTGGCCGCAGTGAACCCAACAGCACTGTTTCACGGCTTCAGTGTGTTCGCTTGAAGCATGTTGAGGCCTTTGTGCTGCATTCACGTCATCTGGGATGGGGGAGATTATAGATGGGGCATATTGTTTCTGAAAAGCTTTAATGTTATCTGCCAACTGAGGATGGCTGTATGATCACAGAGTTAAAAATACCGTCCACTGACACTATAAAACTGTAACCATTAAAACAGACTGTAGTTAACAGTAAAGATCAGTGTTTGCAGATAATATCAAGACTTTAAGAAAAATCTATTTTCTAATTTCATAATTACAACTTTGATGTTTAAACAAATCTTATTTACAGGTGGAATAACTGCCAATTACTGTAACCCCAACATGACATGAACGCAGCATTAGAGCCCTATAAAAAAAGCTTTTAAGATGAAGTTCATAATTCATAAATAAATCTCATGAAAAACATCAAAAATCTCATTTTTGGTAAATATTTTTTCTAACAATCCAGATATTCATCAGAATTCAAAAAATAATCTACATTTTTTCTCCTGTTAATAATTTCAGAATAATGTATGAAGTATTTCCAAGAGAAAATTAAAACCATGTGACATACTTCTTTCCAGGAGATAATTAAGAAATTAAAGACCTATAAAATAAAGTGTTTAAATAGTTTAATAATAATGTTAAATAAAGTATTTTTGGTCACAGAATGATTTCAGTTTGTCAGCACTTCTCTCTCCAGGTCAGAAAACTTTGGAATGAAAGTTTGTGAACCAAGAGATAGTTTTCTTTATAATGAGGGTTCGATCTTTGAGTTTCTCAAAGGTTCTTTGCTAAATGTTTTTATTTTTATGCGTTTGAGTTGAGGACTGTGACAGGTGTGTTTTCTGACTGTTGGTCTCAGATCTGATGTTCAGCCACTGACTCTGATCCCTGCTGGTTCCTGTAAACATTTGCCAATAAAAAATGTTTAAGGCTTCACCTGCTCTTCAGCTTCAACTGTCTCTTTTCTCTTCTGCTTTTTAAAAAATTTAATTTTAGGTTTTTCAGAGATTTTTCTTGGAGTTACTCAAGTTCTATGGGAAAAGGCAAACAACTCATGTCGTGAGGAAAAGTATAAACTGGGGCCAGAATTCATTGGTAATAACTTATACTACTTACGGTAGTAATATTTGGAAAGTAACTAAGTACAGTAACTCAAGTACTGTACTTAAGTATGTACATGTACGTCCATCTGTTGGTTTGTACTTCCACTCCATTACATTTCAGAGGGAAGAAATTTACTTTTTACTGCACTACATTTATAAGACTGGTTAGTAGTTGCAGATGGAGATTTGACCTGAAACAAAATGTAATAAGAATATAAAATACAACAGTGTTTAAGATTAAATCAGTGGGTCCCAACTTTTTTTGGCTTTTATTTGAAAAAACAAACAAAAAACTAAAAAAAGTAGTTTGGGTCCCAGTCAATTAAATTACTGTATATAAAGTAAGTTTTTTTCTCCAGAACAATTACTTTTACTTTAAGTACATTTTGCTGATACTTTCACAACTTTACTTAAGTAGGAATACAGTATTTTTTATATTATGGTATTGGTGCTTTTACTTAAAAGCTTTACTTTACGCAAAAGACTGAAGCAGCGTGAAGGATTGAAAGGTTTTTATTTCTGTAACAGAGTCATTTACAGCAACAAAAACATCCAGAGAGCTGCTGCAGCTACAATAAATATTCATGACCACACTCCACCTCCAGTGCTCGGCTGGTTCATTCTTCTTCTCTGCTGCTTTTAGAGCCGGACCGAGTTAAGTGCGAGGAATCAAGTTAATAGACTGATACAGTATGTTTTGGTGGTTGGAAATATATGGGAGTATATTAACAACATAACTACTGAGAGTACAAATTAAGTTTTAGTCAGTCTGCAAGTCTAAATTCGAGAGCATGCAGAGACTAAGTCAGATTTTCTGATACTCTTTGCTCTAGTCTGAAATGTTTTGTCAGATTCTAAGTGCGTCAGTACTTTTTCAGTTCTAGGTTTGGGGAAGATTAACATAAATAAAGGCCTTGGCCAGAAAAAAATGTGCTGTTAGAAAAGTTCCTAATTTAGATGAGGAAATATCTGTTTTTTAGTAAGTTGTAAATTAGTTGAAGAATCTCACTGAGCTTTTTATTTTAGTTCCTCTGGTGGGCTGAGGAAGTTAAATTCACACGATTATTCTGACCTGCAGACTGATCAAATCCTGACATTCTTTGTTCTCACTCAGCAGTTTTGTCGTCGCCAAACATCACAGAAAGATCTACAGGATAGAGCAACTTTTACTTTGAAGGGGAGGAAGTGGACAGAGCAACCAGAGCCACATGCAGAGTTCGGTTAAGTTTGTATCAGAGGCAATGACTTGACTGGACTCTGTGTGTCCTCCGCTCTGGGTGCAGGTTGAAGAGCTGTGCGTTTCATTGACCAACATCTGGTTGGAAACTTTATAGTCAGGAGCGTTTCTTAAGAAATTGTTTGGCTGTATTTACACCTGGTTAAAATATTTTACCAGACTAAGTTTCCACCATCTGTGTGAACAAGACAAAGAGGATTCAGGTGGGGTTGTCCCATAAGTGTGTTTGTGTGTGTCTCAGACATTGAGGGTCTTTTTGACAGAGAAGATAATATCTTTGATCTGCGGCAGGCTGTGGTCCTCCAGGATTTTGGCGTACGGCATGGGGATGTCTACGCCCGTCACTCTGGTGACTGGAGAGTCCAGGTAGTTGAAGGCAGGACCTACGAACACACACCGGAGGTTAGAGATTTCATTGTAGTGCTCGAAGAGTTCCCAGCACACTGTTGATATTTCAAACCACTGAGGAGGTTTTGTTTCGTGCCGTAACAAAATCTTTAAATCAAGATATCCAGGTGTAGAGTTCGCAGAGGTACGGACAAAATTAATGATATGAGGTGGAAAAAATTGCAACGCAGGGTGTTCCAGACATTTCTAAGGAACAGTTCAACACAAAAGAAAATAGGCTTATTGTCTGAGATATATTCAGCCTGTACACTGGCTCTGTCCAACACCCATCTCCACCTACCAGCATGTCTACGGATCACAAATTAATGTGTTATTTCCTGTTCATTTAATCTGGGGGTGACGGGGTGATGAGCCAAACCATTTCTAGTCTGCTAGTTGTTTTTCCACCTGTTTTCAGTGTGTGTGCTAAGCTAAGCTAAAAAAGATGCTGGACACAGAAGTGCCATCACTTAGAAACTCAGATTTCAGATTTACAAGTTAGTCAGCTGTTACCTTCCATGACCCTGGCGCAGATCTCTGCTCCGACGCCAAACTGAGGCCAGCCGCCCTCCACTGTCACCAGGTGGTTGGTCTTCATCACGCTGGTCTCAATACTCTCCACATCCAAGGGACGGATAGTCCGCAGGTTGATCACCTGACGCACAGACAGGAAGTAGTTAACACACTGCTGAGCACAGGTCACCTATGTCACATATCAACAGGCGTGTTTCTCTACCTCACACTCGATTCCCTCCTTGGCGAGGACAGCGGCGGCATCCAGACAGTGACTGACATAACGAGAGTGAGTGACCACAGTGACATGATTCCCTGAAACACAGAAAGGAGAAGAAGGAGGTTTAATTCAAGTTTCTTTCAGAATTTAGTGTGTAGACAAACAGTTGATGCCTATTCTCCAGTCGATGCCATTAAACCACCACAGAAGAAGAGGGTGCAACAACATGATGTGATTAAAAGAGCACCAGTCAAAAACCTTCAAAAACCAGGATGAAAACAAAGTATTTATGTTTTTTTCCATCTCCTCATCAGTCCACATATCTTTCTTGCAACTCAAGCTGCAGCTGGAGACGCAGCACTGAAGTGTTGGACGGACGGATACACCGTTGTTACTCAAGGAAGAGTTTTGTGGTCAGTTTCGAGGAAACAGAGGCTTCGATGGAGCAGTGTGGAGGACAGTGTCCTGTGTGTCTGTCTCTGTCTCACCTTGTCTCTCCACCTTGGCCTTGCCGATGGGAATGGTGAAGTCTTTGGACTGTGACTCCTCCGACATCTCGAAAGGAACACCGTACATCAGCTCGTTCTCCAGGAACACCACTGCAGCACACATTGGGGCGGAGTTCAGTGACAACAGTTACAGACACAGTTCACACTTAGTCGCATCATGAATTTTGGGCAGATCTTGCAGCTGTCTGATATAAAAAAAGCATAAATGTAAAAATATAAATGCTTCCAAGCAGCAAGACTGAGACTGTCAGAGAATAACTGGTTTCGAGAATCGTATGCAAAGTGCTAAAACCTAATATGAGGTTATAAAGTCCCTATGAACTGTGGGAAGCGACAGATACTTGGTTAAAATACTGTGAGTAGAAAGTAAAACAGCCACTGAAAGGAAGTGGGGGAAGGTAGCTCCACAGACAAAGGGGCTAGCGTCTCTCACCGGGGTTGTCGTCTCTGATGGCTGATTTCAGGAGACCTTTAGCATCTTCTGAGTTCCAGGGACTAACAACCTTCAGACCTGGACAGTGAGCGTACCTGCAGACAGAGACAACAATCACACTGACACCAGTAGCTTGTTGTTGTTGTTGTTGTTGTATGTGGCTTTTTTTTATGTCGCCACACTAATTTCTTTCATTTCAGTTCTTTGTCTATTTTCTTCCCTCTCAGTTTGTCTCTGTGTTGCTGTAACATGTGAATTTTCCCTCTGGCATCAAGTAAGTCTAATCAACACTACAAAAATGAGACTGAGTTCTTATAAAGCTGCAATCACAGTAATAAGAGCCAACTGACAGTAACAGTATCAGGTGTAAGTGAACGCACCATGCAGCGAAGCACTGCGAGTGCTGTGCAGCGACACCCGCTGATGCTCCGTTGGGTCCTCTGAAGACGATGGGCACCGACTGCAGACCAGCTGACATGTAGTAGGTCTTCGCTGCGGAGTTGATGACCTGGTCGATGGCTTGCATGGAGAAGTTAAAGGTCATGAACTCACAGATGGGTCTCAGGCCGGCCTTCAGGGGACAACAGATTAACATTAGTGAGAGCTGCTTGTCATGTTCACAAAATAACATGAACACATTTCCACAGAAGAGTCATTTTTATTCATTAGAATTTACACTGATTTAATGGTATTTGATTTGTATGGTAAGGTGCATTTATTCACAGTTGCAAACGATTCATTATGACAACACTCGCTGTAATAATCATATTGTACAGTGAGGGGTTTGTGTGTGTTCAGTGAATGTGCTGCATTGTGGATGAACAGGAACTCACCATGGCAGCTCCCACTGCAATGCCAGCGAAGCCCATCTGCATATGAGAGAGAGAGAGAGAGAGAGAGAGAGCACATTAATCAGCTGGAAAACGTTTCCTGGGTGTTTCCAGTGTTTTAATCAGACAACAAATGAAACCGACTCAGACAGAAGACTCTCAAACAGCTGAATCAGTTTCATGTACAACAGAGGACATTTGTGAAGGTCGAGCGTCTCACCTCTGAGATTGGAGTGTCAATGATGCGTTTATCTCCATACTTCTTCCACAGGCCTCTGCTCACCTATACACACACACACACACACACTTACTTTAGTCACTCTTGAGGAAATTACATAGACATTTCCTTGGAAACTTACCCTGACATTAACCCCTGACCCAAAAATCAGCTTTTTCCCCAAATGGGAGACACGACTTTTTGTCCCCAACTGGACAAACTGTCCCCAGTTAACTAGTCTACAGAGGGAGTGGCTTCTTGTTTTAAGCCGTTCAGTTGAGGTGTATGATGTGTAAAATGTTGAATTTAAGGAAATCGATTTATTTCCATTTATACAAAAAGATTACCATAAATTAGAAAGTAACAGACGATATCTGAGGTATGAGCTGCCTTGAATCATGATCAATGGTCTGCGTGTACAGAGCTGCCCTTCTCCCTTCTCACAATAAAAGTGTCTGAATCAACAGAGGCCCATGTTCTGACATGATAACAAAATTAACAAAGGATATGAACTCGTTTTACAACCTTTCGAGCTGTGAATCTAAAGAACAGGAACAGACAAGATACGGTGATACCGTCTTCACGAACCTCATCCACTGTGTTGCAATGAGGGTCTACTCACCTTGTAGGCTCCGTCGTACTGAGCCACCTCCTCACCCATCAGGAACACCCGCTCGTCCCTCTCCAGCTCCTCATCCATGGCCTGGTTGAGGGCATCACGGACAGTCACCTGACAACAGCAGCACCACAGTCAGTGCTGACCCACTACTGGCACCCAGAGGACAGAGTTCATCCTCACGTCTTTCACGTCAAGCCATCCTCTTAAGTGAGGTTTTTTAAGTTAGGTACAATTGATTTCGAGTCAATACAAGTTTAATTACAATATAATTTTAATTTAAGATGAACTTTTAGGTTGCCAGCATGTGGAAAATCCTCCAGAATTACACTTTCTTGTCCTTGTAGCTCTTTAATTCATTAGGGAGACCTCTTCAATGCACTTTACTTTAGTTTTGGTGTCTATTGTTGTTACAAGCAATCAGCAACAGTTTTATTTTTAATAATTGTTAACCCACATTTCTCTATACTGAGTGAACTTTTTACAGAACTCCTCACACAGTTCTCTTTATTTACATGCAGCTCGGATAAAACAATAAGCTCACATTGAAAATGCACTAAAGCAAACAACACATCATCCACATCACAGGATCAACTCTGGTACCGAAACACTGACAACACTTGTCTCTCAACGTTAAAACTTTGTCACTCACTCACTAACAACAGGTGGCTTCAGTATTCATTTAATATGAACTAAAATTGAATTATTACAACTAAAAGAATGACCCTTCTTTATTGCGTGGGCTGGCATACCTTACAGTATGTGTCACAAATGAATCAGAAATGCTGCAATCTGCTTGTTTTGGCAATTTTTTCAGAGCGACACATATTATAGATATATATTCACATATTTGTATAGGACTGCTGCAGATCTAGAAATACATCAGCAATAGTCAAATCTTCTCTTTTGCATCTGGCCACAAGTTCTCATCCACATCAAACCTTAAATCCTCTCTTCAATACACCAGGGAAAGAATACCAGACAATCTTCTACAAATGTGTCCAGACATCCAGCCTTTATTGTGTCCAAGAGAGACATCTGATCATAAGAAATGATCGTGAGGAAAATAATTCCTCTGTGGGGCTGAGGAATAGAGAGTAAGGTGGAGGGGAAAATGACCCCATCCTGGGATGGGCTGAGTGAAACATCACATGTGCCATTTCCTTACCTGGCTTTCAAGTCTTTCATGGAGGCGATTAAGCAGTTAAAATCGGTGCTCAATGTCCCTTTTTGAAGTTTATTTTGATGAACATGTAGCAGAATGTCGAAAATTTCCGTTAAATTTAAAGTAATTTGGCGTTTTGGATCATAATTTTACCATGTTTGAAACTAATATGCCAGAGTTCAAAACGGACCATAAGCACACAGAGGTTTGGTGGTTGCTGAGTTTGAAAGGTTTGCACAGTTTTAATCCACACTGTCTGTTTTGGTAATAGTGAAGACGGGGATGACATGATGTGACCTGACACGAGCGGAGATTTGAATATTAATACTAAACTTAATTTAAGTAGGTAGCACAAAGTCCGATACTATAAGAACTTATAATAACAGCTGTACTTTGTCATTAAACTCCGGAGTTAAAAAAAACATAAAAAATAAATAAGTGTTGGCTGTGGCTAACGTTAGCCTGTTAGCTGCTAACCGACCTGCACTGCGGCCGGAAGGGTCCTGTGAAATCCCCGCCGCTGCAGCGCCGACACGGCATTCTGTAAAGACAGCGAACCGCCATTATCGATCTTAAACATGTTACAAAACCAGACTGAAACAAATACAAAAGAAACATTTCTGAACAATCCCAAACCTTTCCTGTACGGAGAAAGCACCTCAGGGACACCGCCATCTTCACTCTGTCCTCTGCCGGATAGAAGGCGGGGACTACACAGAGGTCAGTAGATTTCGACCAATCAGTGCTGCGGGTAATGTGTACGTTAGAATGCGTCATGATACAGAGCCAATCACAGCGGTTAACTGGAGATGGAGGCGGGAGAAAGCGAAAAAAGGAAATCCAAGGACACTGCTGCCCTGTCATTTGGTATGGAAGACCAAACCCTCTATTAAAAGATAAATAATAAAATAAAACTAGAAAAATCCCTGGAGAAATTTTGAATGTGCCTGCTGCTTGGTGCGTGTACTTCACTCCTCACGTTTCAGTCTGCACAAAAGCCATTTGAAGCTGTCACGACTGGCAAAAATAACCTCACACTGACGGTTTCAAACACAAATTTGTCCCCATAACCATTGCAAGACATGTGTACACACAGTGTTGTGCCATTCACACTTAAAAAAGATCTAGTTCAAAGTTCATTAGTTCATACAGATGAAAATGAACTAGTTCACATTCATTTGTTCTGTTTTTTTGTACCTATCTGAGATTCTTTGGTCAACATCTGTTAAACTGATTTTTTTATTTTTTTTATTTTTATTAATTTATTTTTTGATAGAAACTCATACAACTTCTTTGTCTCTTGTAACAGTTGTGGACAAACACATTTGGAGGGTCAGGTACTGAAGCTATTGGAGTAAACAAATTATTAGAAACACCTTCCAGTATAACCAACAAAATATATAGTAGCGGAATAGGTCAACATTTTGGGAAACATATTTCTTCCTTTTTCTTTAAATAGGAATACCAATATCAATATCAATCTCATGTCTGTGATTTAAACTTGCAATAACTGATTCTTTTGTCCACTTAGGGGCAGTGGAAACAAGTTGCAAACTCAACATTAACATATCATCAACACATTTCACATTGTCATTTGGTACATTGTTACTACAAAAACATTTATTATGGCTGGCTCTGTGCAAAGTTAAAAAATACACTAATTAAAAGCTCACTAATTAATATACTGTATTTGTTGAATTTGAGAAATGTAAAAACAACACTGTGTTTTCTATTTTGTTGTTCTGTTTCTGTTTTGTGAAAGCTTTGTTCTGCACTTAAAGCCCACAGTAAATAGCTGCTACCCCAAACTAATGCAAATTCTGACATACTAATTACATGTGGCAGAACCAGTCAGAAGAGAAAAAAATGCAGAAGCATCAGCAAGTTCAGAGGTCACGCAGGACATACAAACACACACACACACACACACACACACAAAATAGAGACGCATAGTGTGAGACAGAGCAGAGTCCTGAAGACAGAGAGACAAAAAAAGAGACATCAGCATCAAACTTCATCTTTCTGAGGGTAAGACACACATGCTTTCAACTCTTCTCTGCACGTCACTATTTTTCTGCATTTTGAAACACACATTGGGACAGCTGAAGGAAAACATGAAATCACTTTGGAATAAACAGAGACTGGAACTGCAACTGACCTTTTAACACTCATGCTTTCAACAGAGTCACAAATAAGGCAATAAGAGCATCATAAAACTTGGATCATCACGTCTTTAAAGGTAAACTCCATATTAAGTTTAATGTAATGGAAAGTGTTTCATCTGATGATCAATTTATTTAGAATACATATAAGTTAAATATGTCTAAACAGGAGTTAACTTATTAGATATTTGGCATTTGCTCTGTGAAATGATGCTTCTGCTCTCCTTCCCTTTTGTGATCTTTGATTATTATAAAGTGTCTTTTTTATCAAATGTATGTAATTTTATCAAAGTACTTTTGATATTTAAGTAACATAATGTTTAAATTTGAGATTGATCCTTTGACATTTAAAATATACAATATATAATAGGTGCACATTATATTTTTGCATTAAATGATGTATACCTACCTAATGTAACCTTTGAGATTTTGAAAAATAATAAGATTGTTTACAATTGGAAAATTTCAGTAAGGGAGTTTGTTTATAATTAGAAGATCTCATTGACTTATGATATTAATAATGGACAACAGTAAGTAAAAGTATACACGTGTGTGTACATAATGTCACATACTCAATTAATATATATTGTATCATATATACAGTATAACATATCTATCAACAAAATGTGAAAAAAGTTATTTATTTTACTTATTTATCCATGACTGGCCAGTCACTAAATGAAGTGAATGACGAATATACAATTGTCGCTCTCAAGTTACAAAAACAGTCAGAAGCAGCTCCTCCCTGGCCGCTTTGAGATGCTATTCAACTTTTTGACAAGCAGTTCTTTTGTAGACAGAGTCCTTTAATCATCCCACTGTTGTTTAGGATCATGTACTCCTTGTTGCTTATTTAGAGCTCCGCCAAGAGCACTTAGCTCCAAACACTTTACATTCCACAGTCACTCAATTATTTTTGTGCGTTTAAGTGCCTGGATTGTTGCACAAATTCTCTCATTTCTTTACAGCTTGAGCCATTAAAGGGAATTACAAATAAATGAAAGCATCTTGCCCCTGACCTTTATGATAGTGCAATACTAAATCACTGGTTTTAGGTTATTGTTATAATAACAAAATGCAAAAATACCCATACGTAAAAGTCCTGCATTCTGCATTCTCCAGTCTTTTCAGTGTATTTGTCCAAAACTGACTATAAGTCTGTCTCCTTCAGCTCTCTGACTGGCCTCATCCAGAATGCTCTACCTGCTGCTCTACCTGACGACAGTCTTTCATTTTAGTACCTGTAGCTCCATGGAGCTTTGTCAGGGAGACAACCAGTAAGTATGTTTATGATAAATATGTTTATATTTGATGTGAATTTGCTTTACATCTGATAGAAAGTGCCGTGAAAAGGTCTAAGTGACTAATGTAAATGAAATCTCATCGTCATCATCTCACTAAACAAAGACATACAATCCCTGCCTCCCAAAAAGAGAGTGGGTTTGTATGAGTGAAGAGCAGCTGAGATTCAACTATATAATGTGAACTTGTCTGGCTGAGAAATAGTCAAAGTCCCTCAGCAAACTGTGGAGCCCCTGGATGAGGCTGCCTTCAGGAACCCACATGGAGACTACAAGGAGGTTGGATAGTCCAAACTCTTGGTAGATGCATAGACACAAGTAACAGTCAGAGCCGTATCTAACTGGTATCACTTGCATAAGCTCTGGCTTAAAGCAAATCTCTCCTCATGTTGACAATGTTGTTTTGTTCTTGAATCGTCTCCATCCAGGTGCATCATATGCACTGCAACTGGGCCCACTGTCATCGACGTCCACGGCCAGGTTAACTCTGTGCAGGATCGGTGTGGGTACACTCTAATGAAGACCACATCAATCCCAGATTTCCAAGTGCACGCAACCTTCCAGGAACGACGGCGTAAAGATGTCAGTTTTTTGGACCGTGTGATCCTGCAACTGGACAAGCCAGCTGTTCAGATTAATCTGGAACAAGGTGGGAGAGTCCAGGTGAGCTTCCTAGTGCCACAGTTGTAATATATCAGTATAACTGCTGGTCTGCAGTCTCTCAGAACTAGTTTGTCTGATGACAATGAAAATCAAATGTGTTTATAGTGGCTTGAACAACCACCCAAAGGTGGAGAGAAGAGCAAGTCTTCATAGATAAAGTTGTGATATTAAAATTTATTAAAACGAGGATAATGTTGTATATTTCAGACACTCATTCATAGCGTTGACCTTCTTTGAACACATTGTATATTCACGGCTGTTCCACTGGAATGAATGGACTTTACTCTGATTTTAAAAGCTTGTGTGAGAAGCTCATTATCATGAGATCTCTGACACCTAGGAAACCTGTTCTGCTCAAACACACAGCCTAATTATGTGAGCTTGACAGTTTAGCCCTTAGAAGCAAAAGACTTGAATTATTTGTGCTTTTATTGAGCTCGTGTTTTAAAGTGTTTAAATTGCTTCCATTTTTTCTGTGATTAACACACAGAAAACCTACAGCGGATTACTGTCAGCCGCAACCAGCAATTATTTTCTTTATCAATACATCTTGTTCAATGTATAAAATTTTAGAAAATAGCAAAAAAAAAAAATCATTTAACATATTAACATGTGTTAACATGTTAAAAACTGAAGTTTACTATTATAGAAAACTAGCAACATTTTGGTTGACTGTTGTTGCTAATTAATTTTGCTGGGGTAAATAATGAAGCTGTCTTGTAAAGTATAGTGGAGGTCAACAGGGGCCCAGCAACATTTTTTGGGCCCCCACAAAGGTTAATCAGGCTTTGTCTTCTTCCCTCTAGCTGGGCGACTTAATGATGACGCTCAATGACACAGCTCAGCTGGTTCATGGTGTGGAGCTCTCTAAGGACCAGACCGGAGTGACCGCCAAGATGTCGCATTTAAACACCACGATGACCGTCTTCTTCAATGGCTACACTGTACAGATACACATTAAAGGTACAGATCACTAAATCACAGATAGATGAGGGAGGGAACTGTGGCGTTGGAGAGATGTTTGTCAGTGGTACCGCCAAGCTCTTCCACCTCTTTGAAAAACACTCTGGCAACTAGATAGACACCATAGCTTTTAAAGTCAAAAAAGAACAGGGAGGCAAGAAGAAGAAAACAATACAGATGCTGCACAATCGGTATGTGCAGCCACTTTGAAAATTGTTAACAAAGAGACATCTGCTTGCAATGTTTTTCCTCCACAATAGAGCTGTCATTAAAAAAAAATTAAGTTGAAATGAATTCAAATCCATATAGCCCATCTTAAAATATTGGTTTTAGAATTATTGTTGTTTACGGTTCCTCTACAGCATCACTTCAATGACAAGCTAAAGTTACTGTGAGACAAACAGCTTTACATGTCTCCACAATTTTATCCTCTCTGGTGTCAAATCCAAAATGCTTCCACACATTACTTCTTTGATGGTTTGGTATCATGATGCACATTCACAGCGTGCAAACAGTGTGCTGCTACTCTATTGATCAGATTCATTATCTCCTGAAACTGTCCAGGACCAAGTGGACAAGTCCCATCTGTGCATGGTTTATGTGGCAACTCCAGCCAGCCTTTGAATGAAGTGAGGCTCTCTGAATACAGTGCCTCAGGGTAAGACCCGAACGTCCCCACTGACTGCTGCCTTGCTACTGCTGGTGATGGATTTCAGACTGCGGGGTCCTCGTATAAAGCGGCTGGGTGTTTTGGTGCTTTTTGTGTTTGTTCATGGGGCATTAGGGGAACAATCTTAATCATCTGCTGTTTGTTGTCCCCTAGCTGTGAGACGCAGTACGAGGACACTGCTAACAGTACGATCAACTGCAACAACATGACTGAACGGTGAGCAGAGACACCTGAACGCAGACGAAACGTTCCTGCCACTGATTAAAAGTTCCTGAGGTTCAGAGATGCAGATGAAAGCCCATCACTACGGTGGCCCTGAGAGCTCAATGCACTGCAACTTAAAAAAACATCTTCATACATTTGACAACACGTGCAATGTAAACAAATCACAACACATGCATATAAACACGCTGCAAATTCAGTCCCACAACACAACGGAGGTGTTTCCAGGCGACACTAAAAAGTGATGAACCTAGCTGGGACTTGTTCAAAAACAAGTGCGTCCCAGCCAGGTTCATCACTTCATCACACAGAGAAAGACAGGAAAGTCAGGGAGAGAGAGAGAGGATGATATGGTGCAAAGGGCCACGGGTTGGACTCGAAACCCGGGCCACTGTGGTTAGGATTACACCTTCATGGTACCCCCACGTGTTTTCTTAAGTTGCAGTACGTTGAGCTCTCAGGGCCACCGTACTTCACATAAACATAAATGAGTGCAGCTTCCAGTGAGCGCACATTACATTCTTTAATAAAACATAATGAGCCCAGAAAACACCTTCATCTTGAAGTCTGTGCTGGTCAACATATTCCTTATTTTTCCATGTCGCCTGGACTTCATTATTCCATCTCCCTCTTTCCCTCACTGACACAGCTGTAATCTCCTGAAGGAGGCGTTTTTCACCGCCTGCCACACCCACATCGACCCACAACCCTACGCTACTGCCTGCGCCAACATTTTGTGCAAATATCCTGCGGTGGACGGTCTTAACTGTCAGTTTCTGGAGGCTTATGCCAGAGCCTGCAGCCTGTACAGCAAGGACACAATGGAGGGCTGGAGGTCGAAGGCCAGCTGCTGTAAGACTGTCCTACCTCAATGTTACAACAAAGTCTTAGATTCTACAGCCGTGCAAGTGGCTCTGTGAGGCTGAATGTTTTAGCAGGTACAATGTTAAGTTGGAGGTTCTGAAAAAGATAACTATCACCATGGGAATCGGGTCAGGATGCATGGGAAGAAAGGAGAAAAAAAATTAATCCTATTCAACAAAGGTTTATTCTCAGATAATTGTTTCAAACATGGAAGGGAAAACACACTTGGACTGCTGGTTAGAGAGTAAAGATTAAATTTAACACAACAAATCAAAGTAGTCTCATTATGTTCTTCTTAAAGAAATAAGGATAAAGAAAGTTCTCAGAGACTAACAACAAGAACTAAAGAGTAACAAACTTCTTCTACCAGAAACTGCTGCCCCCATTTGACAGTGGAAAAAGAGAGAATGAGTGGCGTGAAGCCCTTAAATATTCTTGTAGTGCCCAGGTGAACTCAATCAGGTAAATGAGGTGGAGCGTGAAAACAAGAGCCAATCAGTGATAAGGAAAGGAAGTGATGTAGGTGAAGAAAAGAAGAGGAAAAATGGGATCTTTACTACATATAATGTTAGTGATGTTCACCATTGTAGTTTTTTTTGTTTTTACAGTGTTTGTATGATAACAGTTACCAATTAGCACTAAGCACAAAGCACAGCTGAGGCTGATGGGAATGTTGTTAGTTTTGCAGATGAAACAGTTGTTGAGATACTTAAGTCTATAACAAAGTGGCCACGGCACAGATATTTTATCTGTAGTGGGATTTAGTTTTGGTTTTATTTGTCCCATCACCTGGTTCAAACCTGTACATCATATTTAGTGCCCAGTCACAGATATAGCGCCATTTAAATTTCATTATCAACATCATCCGTCTGTAACAAAGACTCACACCTGTGAAGAAAGCCAATAAAGGGGGGAACTATCACCACTGCAGAGAAATTGTGTTTGGTAATCACCATTTTGATCACATAAGTACACAAATCAAAACAAACACTGAGGATATTTATATTGGTTTCTAAGCAAATGAATTGTAACATCTGTTAACATCCCTGTCTCTGTCCGCAGCTGGTGGCCCTCAGGCCTACTGTCAGGACTGGTTCTGCAGCGCTCATGAGTTCTGTGGCGAGAACAGCATCAGTGGTGGAACCCGCTGTCACTGTCGGGCCATCTTTGCCTCCACATATAGATCTCAAAACACTTTAGGTAAGACAGCAGCGATAAGGTGACCAGATATCTGAGATGAACCGTGGGGACATTTCCAGTTCGGAGGTCAATATATCATTGAAATACTCAATGTTTTTACATATGATATAAAACAGGGGACACTCATGTATTCTGACCATGGTAACTGTTGTATTGTAATAAATTATTGTGAAGGCCAACTGATAAAATGACAACTCTCTTCCTTTGAAGCAGTCATGAAGTTTGTTTTAAGTAAGTAGTTGTTTTTGTTAGTTTACTGCCTCCTAACCAACGAGCGAGCCAGCTAACCTTTTCTCTGTCTAGCGACTACAACAACTACAAAACAAAAGAAAAATCTGATTGGATAACTCTATTTTGATGACTCTGTTATGATTGGTTTTAGCTTCACTTCTGAAGCTGCTATAGCTCGCAGCCAGCCACCTCTGTTGGCCAAAACAAGCGCAATGCTGGATGTCTGGTCGCCCTAAGCTGTAACACAACAAAGTCACAGTACAGACATTATCAGACCTACAACTGGCTGTTAAATGAGCTATTTGTTTGTGCTAGTGCTACATAGCTAACTTTAGCATTAACAGCTGTTTTCTTATGAGTCTAGAAGAAAACTTCATTCCTTTACTCGCCAAGAGCTGTCTCCAGAGGTGGAAAGCAATGCCAATGTTAACTCTAGTCTCTATCATCTCTCTTATCTTCTGAAGTTAGCACGCTAACCAGCTAGCCCCGGCCTGTATCGTCACTTTCCGATAGCGACTCACTGTAGCCCCCAGTGCCCCGAAGACATATGGCTGCTCAGAGGACATGTTATAGCCTCTTGTCTTTAAACACAATGATGGCCGAAGTTCTTGTCAAGCAATAATCACCATCGCCTGCTCTCGGCAAGAAACAACATTCGGCGGCAGAGAAAACTTACAAATAGCCCCTTTAAATAAAAAAAACATGAATATATATACTTTATATTAGATTGACTGTTTTCCTTATCTAAACATCACACAACAGATTTTGAGTGAGGTTTTCTCATTTCTGCCACAGAACCCAAAGCTAATTAGCATCTGAGAGTAATTACCACTTAACCACAACGTTCACTGTTCGATTCCCAGCCAGATATCCATCTTTCTCACCTCACCACATTTCCTGTCTCTAAACTGAAAACTCAACATGTTACATGTCTGTTTTACTGTCTGTGTCCTGTTTTTCAGGTGACGGTGTGGTCTGCAATAAGTCCTCTCTGTCAGTCACTCTGGTTGGTTGTCTCCTTCAAGACAAAGGCATTCACTACTCTGACTTACACCTGTACGACAACACCTGCAGAGGTCAAATGGACAACGTAACCCACATGGTGACCTTAGGCTTCGACACCAAAACCAACCCCTGTGGGATGATGATCAGGGTAGGTAACAAGCAGAAGCTACAGATGAATGAACTCAGTGGGTTTTCTGCAGTAACAGCGTCTGACTCCGTGTGACCTTGCAGATGAACAACAAAAGCCAGATTATCAACAAGAATGGCGTCATCCTGGAGACCACCAAAGAGCAGCTGGCGGATTTCACCTGTCCCTTTATCATGCCAGATATAAACATCGATTTCTCAGTGGGCATCAAAATCATAGGAGGCACCAGCAAGTGTGTGGATAATAACCCTCAGCCGTTCATATTCAAAGAGAAATACTTTTCACTTCACCACATATACTTCACAGCTTTACCAGTTACTTTACAAATTAAGATTTTACATTCAAAACATATAAAAAAATTACAAAAATAATTCAGCTACTACTGTCAACAATTTTAATAATCATTTACGCCATTGTTCATGTAAAAAAAAAAAAAACTAAATATTTCATGTTCCAGCTTTTCAAATGTAAAGATTTGCCCCGTCTCTGTGGGTAGGAATATATGATATATAATGAATCATCATATATAATACTACAATAATCCCAAATTAGAGGTGTAAATGTACAACTGCTGTTTGTAGTTCACTAGAATTTAAGATCTTCACGTGAACCAACATTTTAATGATCCCAAATGATAAAATAAAACATCAAAGACCATTTGGGTATTAACATGAAAAGAATTGATGTAAATCAAAATCCCAATGATCAAACTGATTTTCTAAAATAAAACATTCTTTCAGTGATATGGATTATTAACATAAAGACAATCAAAATCTCAGCTGAACATACTCTTACTCTAATGGAGGAAGTACTGTCTGTATTTCTAGACGTTCAGAGGTGTCTGTAATTTGTGAGTATAAGAGAGATGAAGTGTGTTTGTGTGTTTGTTTGTTCCCCAGTGGTTCGTACGAGTACGTGATAACTGGAGTGTGGAACTACACTCTGACCATGAAGGCGTACACCGACCCGGGCCGGACACAGACTGTGACCTCGAACACCGAGCTCCAACTGAACCAGAAGGTCTGGTACGAGCTGAAGACGGGCGGCCTGGATGATAAAGAGGTCGCTCTGGTGACGCACTCCTGCTTCGCCACCGACGACCCATCAGGAAACTCGAGTCTGAGATACGACCTCATCATCAATGGGTAAGAGACACACAGACGTGGTTGCACAGTCTGTGAATGTGGAGTTTCCAGTGAAGCCAGCTGTATTTATAGAGCCTCAAAATCATGCTGCTGCTGTTAGTTAAAGGATTTTGGTGAGCAGAAGTAAAGGCAGATGAGATGGCTCAGGGTGAATGGTCCCTGAACGCAGCAGGCCGTACTGCTGATGAGGGCTGGGCTCCGAAATCTGGATCTGGTTCAAGTATCCAAATTTGTTCAAGGAAAAGTTCCACATTTTAGGAGATGCTTGTTTGTTTCCTTACCAAGACTTACATGCAAAGATATCACTCTCATGTCCTTACAGTAAGTATGAAGCTGCAGCCAGCTGGCTAACTTAGCTTAGCATAAAGACTGGAAACAGGGGGAAGCAGCTAGCCTGGCTCTGTGCAGAGGTAACAAGATCTTCCTACCAGCACCTCAAAAGTGTTGTATGGGAAGTGCCAGACTCTTTCTACGATCTCCACTCAAGATCCCTTAGTCACTTGTTCTGGAGTCTTCGACTCAATCACCTGGTCTTCATCAGCAGATTGAGTTTGCCCTGTTTCTATAGATGTTAAAATGGTTTGGAGAAAACAAAAACGTACATTTTCACAATGACTTTCTGCTGAGGAAGACCATGTGATACAACCAAAAGCCCCAGAACAAGCAAGTACGTAGATCTTTTTATTAGCTGTAGAAAATATTAGTTTTGTCAGTAACTGGACCAAAAAGCACAGAATGAAACTCGTGTCTTTGTTTGTTTTTTCTGCTCTGTCATCTGCTGTTTGGTGCGACGACCGCACCTGGTGACGTGTGGTTTCGCTTTTCCTGTTTCTGAGCAGCTGTGCGAACCCTGCTGACAAAACGGTGAACGTGCAGAGCAATGGAGAGGGAACGTACAACTACTTCTCCTTCAACATGTTCCAGTTCAGCGGGAAGCAAGGAAACGTTTACCTGCACTGCAAACTGAACCTGTGTGTCAAACAGAACAAGACCTGCGCCCCGGTACGTCCCCAAAGACCCTCACACCGACACAAATACACGCAAGACGCGCCCAATCCTGCAAGTACGAAACCAGAACATCAGTTTTCAGATCTGTGCTTTCATTGATAACATGATCTGTCAGCGTCGGCCACCTTTGATACACTAAATGGCCAGAAGTATGTAGACAAGCCACATCTCTAATGTCTCTAAAATGGGCAGATTTGAAGGATATCGGCACATTAACCTCAATATTTTCATACATCAGTTTCAGTCCATAAATATCAGGGACTGACTGAATCCTTGTCTCTTTAACGTAGAGCTGCAGCCCGAATGATAGAACACGCAGATCTGCCACATCTGAACGTGGAGATGAAAACTCAGCCATCATCATCATGGCCTGGAGCACTTAGGTAAGACAGGACTCAGAGCAGACTGCAGGTGACTGAGCGCCAGTGAAGGTGCAGTCGCTCGGTCACTGTCGCTATTTTCAAACCTTTCAATGCTTTAAGGGCAATTATTTTTTTCGTCTATGAAAACAAAAAATATTTTGGGGTGGGAATCATTTCTCAAAAAAAAATATAATTATTGAAATGGAGGGAAACGTTGTCTTTGCAGGTTGTTTCCATGGTGATTTGGACTGGTCGACAAGGTGTAGATCTCCAAAATGATTCCTGATCAAGAGTCTGGACGCCAGAATCACTTCAATTATATATTTCCTGAAAAATCTTAGCTCAGATTAACATTGTATTTCATTTGTTTGATCCGTACACAAACCGAAATGTTAAAAAAATACAGTTTGTGTTTTTAGAAAGAGGCTCAAACAATTTCAAGGCAAACAACAAGCGCATGAAGAAATGGGTTTGGCACTTAGCTCCTCCTAAAAGCTCAAACTGTGGTTTTCACATTATTGTGTGTGTTTAGTATTAAACAAAAAAGATTCATGTTGATTTGATAAGTATGTTTTTGACACAGTCAGAATGTTTTCCCATCAACTTTTAATGTTCTTTGAATTTCTTGCTTTGTTTTTCACAGACAGCAGCCTGCAGTGTCACATTAAGAAAAATCAGTTCATGACATGAATTCAGTCACAAACAAAACTATTATTCTGCGAACATTAAAAGAAGCTGCATGTTTATGACTGCTCAGATTCCAGCTGAGCTGAGACTTAGAGGCTGATCTTAAACTGTGGCCTTGATGACACTGAGACTTGCTGTATCACTCTGCTCTTCATTTCTATGCATGGGAAAAAAGGGGGAAAAAAAAGGGGGGGGGGGGGGGGGGGGGCGGGGGGGGGGGTTGGTAAAAGACAAACACGAGTTTGAGTCCTTTAATTAATTTATCTGTTCCCGACTCTAAAGCTGAAACATTGAGTCCGGTCACAGAACGTGAAGCTGCTGTGACCTCTCAGGTCTGTCACTACGCCATATACGCTCTACTATAATAACAATATATCAAATGTGACGGTATGAAAGGTGTCCTACAGAGGATTATCACCTGAATCTGCAGCTCCCCTCGGCTTCATGGATCGTTAAAGTGAGTTTCAGCTCGGTGTTTAGCTGCCTGGCTCACAACTTTTACTGCTCTGGTCGCCAAGTGGCCCAAAACAAACAAACACAAAAACAAACGGTTACTGCAGGTTTAAGGTAAGTACAACACATATGGTTGTTACGTGTCCAAACTTCTTGCAACAGCGTGTCTAAAAGGGGTTGGCTCAAACAATCAACAAGAAAAACATATTTTCTCACTTAACATCCAGATTTAGAAATATCTGACTCAAAATCTGTTGTGTCATGTGTCCAGCTCTGTCAGTCAAATCTGATCACAGCCACACCGTCCTGATCAAGCAGATACGTTTTTCACTACTTAAACTTAAAGATAAAATGAATATGAATATAGACACCAAAAATAGAAGAACACAGATTCGTGCATATTTGATTTTCAGTCAAACAAAGAAATAAAGTGAAATACATTAAACATTGTAATATGTATTTCCCTTATGCATTTAGTGTGGCATAATTAAATGGAAAAATGTTAATTATTATTTAGCTTTTAGCTTTGAATAACTTAATGAATTGATTTTAATTGAGATGAATTTTATTAAAATGTGTATGTATTTCACTTTAATTTTTTTTATGTCTATGTCAAGTATTTGCAAAAATACTACTTAGTCGCAGTTTTCCTGAACCATTTTTAATCAAATGTTCACTCAGTTGTTACAGTTGTCATTTCACCACAGCAGGCTTGCTGCAGTTATTTCAATACTGATAATGAGGAAGATGATTTTACAGCTGCAAAACTCTTTCTATCTGAAGATGACAGTCGGACCAAACTTGGAGACATCTGATGCATCTAGTATAATGCGCGCGGGCCGCTGTGAACGACCCGCGCACTGGAGAGTGGTGCTGTTGTTTTTTTCATACCAATGTAGTTGTGATCCAGCGCCGTGTGTGGGTCTGCAGATTGTTTTCATAAACACAAACACACCTCTGGACTTGTCTCCCACCTCTCATGGGTAAAGTGCTGCAGAGAAACATTCTGATACAATTTAATGACCATTCAGGACGTGAAGACCATCGCATTGGACCGGATTGCACTGAACAATAAAAACAAATGACTTCAGCACGGAGCGGCAGAGTTAAAACAAAAACGCTCCGGGTGCTAAAAACTTGGTGTGCGGTGATCGGTCGTCGGGCTGCAGGAACAGCCGCTCTGTCACAGGCTAACACTTCAGCACACACGTGTGTCACGTGGTCGCGCGTGAGCGTGACTGAGAGACGAAGCCACACCCACTTTTATGTGAGTAAAGGAATACATTTTAATATTTTGGGAAATTGTTGAGATTGACATTGCTCTCTTATTTGTCTGTTAATATAAAGCTATAGCCAGAAGCCGGTTATCTTAGCTTAGCTTAGCTTAGCTTAGCTTAGCACAAAGACAGGGAACAGGGGGAAACAGCCAGTCTGGATCTTTCCAATGGTAATAAAGTCTGCCCTCCAGCAACCTCCAAATCACTAAGCAACACATTATATCTTGTTTGATTACTCTCTGCAAAAATTAGTTGTATTTTTTAAATATTAGAGTTGGTAGTTGGACTGAGTTATCTTCACACTGAGCTCTGCCTCCAGTCTTTACACTTAGCTGAAACAACCGGCTGCTGACTTCAGCTTCATATTCAAAGGACAGACATGATTGATATTCATGTTCTCATCTTACACCACATCAGAAAGAGAAGGAGCCTGTGTCCCAAAATATTGGACTGTCCCTGTAATTGATCAAATCAAAACCTGTCTCATGATAGATACATCATACGAAAGATATTTACTTCAAACTGCAGTTTCACTGGGAGTTTGAACACACCACACGTTTGAGACTGAAAGTTTCACAACAAAGTCCATTTAGTAGCTGTTCAGGAGCTTTTGATTGTATCACAGCAAATAAAAATGGAAATTACAACATGTGTAACTCCATGACAACTGGGCAAAACTCCATCTGCTGAAGAAGACTGCGTGATACGATCAAAAGCTCCAGAAGAGCTACTTCATGGACCCTGTGGAGAAGATCTCCTCTCAGGCGATTGGACAGAGTTGTATCGTCCATTTTTTTTCTTTTACAAAACCAAGAATTTGGTTAAGTTCTGTTTTATATATTTTTATTATTTATCTTATTTTCTTCCCTTCCTCTCGTTACTACCTAAATATATTTTATATATATATTGATCTCATGTCCTTAAAGTAATTTTCTTATTGCTTTCGTCTTACTGTTTTTTGTTTTTTTTTTGTCCTGTGAAGCACTTTGTTCCCTTTGTATTTTAATAAGTGCTTTATCATTAATTATTATTATTATTATTATGAAAGAAAAGTGAGTTTTTGCTGCTTTTCTCTGTTTTATACCATTATATTGTTTGCTCTGGAAATCTGTAATAGACATTTTCATTATTTTAAAGATGAAATAATGAAAATAATCATTATATGTATATTTAGGGACATGGCTCCCTTCTGCTTCAACTCTCATAATAACATCCTGTGTGCTCAAGTGTTAATCTGCTCACCAGACAGAGCTTCATACATACAGATGATCTGGTGACAAATGATCTTCATGTATGATATTGTCACCATGCAATATTTTTACAAAAAGAAAAAAAAGACATTCAAATTTCCATAGGCACAAAAATCCATATGGCACAATAAAATAAAAGAATCTCAGCTGTGACATCAAACATTAAAATACAACAGAATTAAAACAGAAGAAAAACACTTAAAATATCAGGAATCACCACAATAAAGGTCTGAAATTAACCCTCAAATGAAGATAAACGAAGCTCTGTGGAGGGTAAAAACGTTACAGACACCAGGTGTCAAAATAACTATTTTCTATGTCTGCAGGTTTGACTGAAGGGCAGACGCCACTTCTCTGACTGCAGGTCATTTCTATGAAAGGTGTGAAACTTGCTTCAGAGAGATCAATTTATTTGCTGATATTGTTTATTTTATTTTATATACAGTTACATTATTGTCACATGATAATGGACTATTTTATCAAATTTTTATTTCATCATATATTTGTGGTTTCTTTTTTTGTTTCTTATCTTGATGTTGATATTTCTGTTTTTAAAAATACTTAACATTATTCTTACCAATAATTATGATAAATACAAGGTTATTCAAGGTCAAACTACAGTCCACATTAGATTTCCACAAAGAACTGAAACGTGTGCGTCCTGGTCATCGTTAGAGTATAAAATCCTCACACACTGTGGAGTGTGTGAAAAGTCCTTGCATGCAACTTTAAATAACTACAGAATAATGTTGACAAAGACTGTGATGATTCTCTCTCTGCAGCAGGTTGATTTTCATAGAAATGAACTGAAACCAACAGCTGCCTTGGTTGGAAAATGATCAGCACTGATTTCAAGTGTAAGTGATTTGACATATTGTTAATAATGTCATTTCAGATTAATTTCAGACCCTGAGTACAATCAAGAGCTGAACGCTCTCGACACACAAGCTTTCACACCAGAAGTGCAAGCCTGACATCGCCTTATTTCCAATGAAGAAAGCGGCTGTGCTCTGCCACTGCCGCGTTTAGCAGCCAAACCTCAACTAAACTACGCTTGAACATCACACGTCTTGGTGGATGGGTGGTGGATTTGTCAAATTTGTGCATCTCTAAATTCCTGCAGTTACTCTGCAGTCCTTCCAGGCCACACTTCCATCCAAATGTTGAGATCATTTCAACAAAACTTTTAGAAAATCTGCAGGAGAAAACGAGAATTGATGTGCCTTTCCATCCATCACCATTATGTGAATATTAAGAGTTGAACGCACTGAGCTATTGTAAACAGTCGGTGGCGCTAATTCTCCAGCACAGTGCCATTAAACCGCTGCAGAAGAAGAGGGCGCCAGGCAAACCTCAAGCGAGATGCATCTAGTGCAGTTGGTAGCGTCGTGATTAACTGGTTTTGTAGGATCATGTTGCAGCTCTTCATGTTGCGCTCTACCTCGTGCAGTCTGTTGGCTCCTGCACATTTGGTCTGAAAAAGCTATTTCGTTTTTTAGAGGAGGCCGGGCTGAAGAATTCAGATGTTTCTTTGTGTTTGTAACTGGAATGAACACCACAGGTCGAGAAGAGAAAGAGACCAATGTCTTGAACTACTGTCGTCTCACTGTCCCAATCTAACTGATGAATTAAATGCGCACAAAAAGCAGCAAAGTCAAATTAATGTCTCCCACTAGTTGAGACCAAACTAAATCAGCAGCAGGTGTGATCTCACCTTGACTGTGGTTTGTGTAGTTTCAAACACACTGCAACAAACACCCTTCATTTTAACTAACTTAGTCATTTCTGTCTGTAATTTGAGTCTCGATCTCTTAAAAACAAATGAATATTAATCTGCACTTTTTCTAAGATTTTTGTCTTGTCTCCAAAGTAAATGAATATGAGCATTTTCTAAGATCAATTTTAATTTTTCTTGCTTCTAATGCAGCGATCTTTTTTTTTTGTTTCAAGATGCAGACACTCATTTCAAGTTGATGTCTTTTAAAATATGACGCAATGCACTGGAAGATTTTTTTTCACTTGTTTTAAGAAATCATGTTTTTGGGGCTTAATTACAGACAGAAACCACTTTAATGTAATGCTGCTCTGTTTATTTTCTGGAGGTGTTCCCCATCTGATGTCCTGCAGTGACAGAGCAGCAGAGTCTGGACGCTACATGTCAAAGGTCCGAGATTATTTCAAAGAGGGGAAGCAGGAGTTTGGGCCAGTTTCTCCACTGCTGCGGGATCTGGATCGGGCACCGTACAGCGCCGTGACAGTGTCAAAGCACTGACATTAGAGTTTCGGATCCATGAAATTGAAGTTTGTCATCCAGCGGTATTAAGCATCTCCAGAATTTCAAATTCCAAACGTTCAACCGCCACTTTCATGAGCCCAAAGAACAGAAATGGAGCCGCTGGCGACCTCCGGAGCAGCAGGTCGACCAGAAACGCAGGTCCCCCCCCCCCCCGTAACCACAGCAACTGAAGAGAAATTTTAAAGCAGGAAGAAGCAAAAACAGGGATAAAAAGTAAAACGGTACTTGGATTTTTTTTTTTTTTTTGTTAGTGATTTGTTTTCACATCTGAAGGCGCGACAACATGAACCGGTCCAGACCACAGTGCAGAACCAGTGGGTCATCATGTCGCTGTGATGACAGCTTCCAGGTCGAGGACGGGTTGCGACGGTGGGCGGGGTCAGATGACAGGCTTGCTGCGGTCGGTGGTCTTGGCCTTCTTCAGTTTGCCCTTACTGAAGTTCTGGATGGAGCTCAGCAGGGCGGTGCGACCTTCCCCTGCTCCATCAGAGGAGGAGTGAGGAGGAGGAGGAGGACACGATGAGGAGTCCAGCATAGGAGGGGGTGGAGGAGGAGGCGGAGGAGGGGGAGGAGTAGTCTGGGCTCCTGGATTAAGGAGAGAAGAATGAAAGGAAGAAATGAGAAAACAACAGCAGCAGTGTCTGGTGACCTTCAGTTTCCCCAGCGGTTGGTTGCACAAAGATACGTGAGACTGATTCACGCGGGTCGTAGTTTTACTCTCAGATTAGTCTGATGACTTCGGTCACATTGTGCTCTCATTTCAAATCAAACACTTGCAGAGGCGGGAAAAAGTGTCTTTACGCCTCTTAGCTTTGCACCAGAGTTCAAGCTCTTGACGCTCTGACCATGAAATAAAGTAACTCAACCAGTAGAGACATTTCCCATCACAGGAGAGGCAGTTATGTGACAATAGTTCAGCTGAGTTTTAACAGAGACTGTTTCATTGGTTAAAACTAGTTTTATACCTCCTTCTATAAAGGGTTTTAACTAACAGCTTAATTGATTAATGGTTAATAGATAATTTACTAATCCTTTATAGATCAGTTATAAGCCATTAATAAGAACCAGTTATGGGTTGCCAGGTTGTCAAAAAATCTTAATCCAGCGGCATAAAGGGTTAATGAGTGCAGCAGGTCCAGATCCACTGATCCATTGGAGAGATCTTCCTGACAGTTACGTGTGATGCTGGAGGAGGATAATTAGAGGGGATTTTTTTGACAGCCTGGCAACCCAAATGTTAGCCTGTATTTGTTTAAGTTATTTGTCTTATGGACACTTATTTAAAATGTACATCAGAGACATAAATATAATTCGGAAGTGTGAGTGAGCCTGAATTTAGAAATAATGTGTTTCATGTCTAGTGACATTTTGCTTGAAAACCTCTGTTGTAATTAATGGCTTCAAACTGCTTTATAAAGCATTAGTAAATCATTTATTAACTATTGCTAAAGCTATTAGTTACAACCTATGAACCCTTTATATAAAGGGCAACTTCTTATTGTGTGTTCTGTGGATTTCGCAGAGTAACAGGGAAACAGTTTATCTTTGTGAAACCAGCACCTGCAGATCAGTGTCCAGGCCGAACTCAATCCACCATCAGTTCAACACGACCTTTGGTTCAGGGACTTAACGGGTTTTAATAGACACAGTTCTGTCAACACCTGAAAAGCACTCAGGTTTGAGTCCCAGCCTCTTTTAAGAATATGGAGTTAAAGTCTTGTGATGTACGGTACTGTGCAAAAGTTTTTGGGCACTTTAGATGTTTCACATAACACCAACATGGAGGCGTCTGGTTGGTTCTGGATTCATTCTGCAGCAGGACAATGAGTCGAAACACACAGCCAGAGTCATAAAGAACAATCTCCAGAGACAAGAGGAACAAGGAGTCCTGCAACAGATGGTCTAGTCCTCACAGAGCCCTGATCTGAACATCATGGAGTCTGGGATCACATGAGAAGACAGAAGACACTGAGACAGACTAAATCCTCAGAGGAATTGCGGCAGCTTCTCCGAGATCAAGCTGATCCAAAATCCAAACATCAAAACATCCAACGAGTTCAACTAAGATCAACCTTCAACTCAATTTTGAAAGAATCCTCAGTTTACTTTTAGTCCCTAAGACGTTTGCACAGTACTGTCACTAGTTAGAAATGTTTCCTCTGTTTTTCAGTGTTTATAACAGCTTTAAATACTACAGTACCCATGATCCTCAGTAGCAGCTGCTGTGGAGAGGCAATGAAATCTAAAGTGATCAAACTGATCCAAAATCCAAATATGATCAAGATCAACCTCTAACTTCACCTCAACATCAGCTGCACAGCAACAGAATCTGAAGCTCTCTGATTGGATGATCCTTACAGCAAAGCCCTCTGGGACTTGTAGTTGATTCTATCTCTCTCTCTCTGTTGTCCTGTGCTATCTGAGCCACTGTGGTTGTGTTTCACAGTGCGGTCCATTTGTGCTTGCATTGTCAGAATCACTTCGATGAACAGAGTGAACTGATGGTGAGTTGAACATAAACCTGGTACATCTCTTTCAGTTGTGCCATTTTGCATCCCAGCTGAATGACACCCGGGGATTACAGGCAGAAAAGCAAAAGGTCGGGGAGCTCAGACATGTAGCTTAAGCGGAGGCCAAAAGCTGCGACCTGAGTCCACGCACTCCACCTGCGGTCTGACTGCACCGTGAATCATCTGCCACGTAATGAAAGGACATCCGTCAGTCTGACAGATGGTAACCAAACCTGGAGAAACTCGTCACTACAGGAGACAATCAGCATGTCTGAAGATGATATTTTCAGTGTTTTTGATGAACACATTAGACATGTAACCAGAGGGAAAACGTAAGAAATTAGATTTTATATAATTTAATAACTGCAGGACCACTACTGTCTGCAGTGGTGACGGTTTTTCTCCAGGAACAAACCGGCTTTCATTACATTTAGCAGCCACAGTGACCTTTAGTGTGTTTTACGTAACTGTCAGATGATTCTCCAGAAACATCCACAGTTAGACTTTAAGTAAAACCAGATCTGTGATTCTCAGATCTCACATGCTGGCACGAAATTCACTGAATAATCTGAAACAATAAAATAAAAGTGACTAAATGTTGACAGTGATAAATAATCTGCAAAAAGTTTTAAATCTCTGCAAGTTAATCTGTTAACAGAAATGAATGAAACGGAAAAGTCTGGCAGGAAAACGACCTATGAGTCCAAAAAAAAAAGAAAAAGAAAAGAGATTGCATATAATAAGAGTTATAACCAGTTCAATACCCTAACCCTTCTGATCAAAAACAAACCTTCAAAGATCTGATACGTCTCCACTGTGACGCCCCACCCCAAACACAGAAACATCAGCAGACAGAGTGAACAAAACAAAACAAACAACAAAAAAAAAAAAACCAGACACAGACAGACAGACATGCTAACTGACTGACCAAGCAGACAGACCGAACTGACAGATCACAATCTCCAATGAGAACAGGAGGTCTGAATCGGGGAGGAGCTGGACTGTCTGTGAGGGGTTTGGAAATCATTGTAGATTGTGAGGGTTTTGTGAAGATGTGCGTACACCCCGTTCCAGGCCAGCAGCGACTCGCTGATACAGAGAAGACGCTTCTTCAGATACCCGCGCTCCACTTTCAGTCCATCTTAATTTACATCGTATCGCATCATGACGTAATGTTTACTCGAGTGGACCCCAGGAAGAGAAGTTGCTACCTTGTTAGTGGCTAATGGAAATCCAAGTAAATAAATGAATAAATAAATAGTGTCACAGAGTGTTGAAACTGTCTCTAAGTTGGGCGCATCAGTCTCCGGTTATTTTATTATACAGTTTTAGTGGATTACATTTGTTATTCTCAAATCCTGGAACTGTTTAAGAATAATATGGTTTTCAGTTTATAGAGGAATGTGACTGAGGTCACTTGTCACTACTATCACTACTGTTTATTGTATATTTTCTGTAATTAATCTAATTTTTCTCATCATTCTCATTAATCTCACAGGGCGTCAACATTTTGATTCAAGTTTCACATTTTTGGTGATTTTTGTGAGCTAGACGGATAAATCGGACATATTTACGTTATTGCAGATGTAAAGTATCGCTGTGTATGTTGGCTAATAAGTGACAAGAAATTGCACGATAGAAGTGCCATTACATTGTCTGTCCACCAGAGAGCACTGTCAGGTTTGTTTATGTTAAAAATTATTAACAGCCAATATATCATTATCACATCATTTTAACCATTTCCAAATCTCTAGAAACTATCTGCTTCAGTCCAGTCCAGTATCGGTCAGGCTGCATCGTGAATGTTTTGTGCCTGTAGAACTGAATATTACTGTCGACCTACGCACGTTTTTAACACTTTCCTGTGTCTGAAAATGTCCTAACTCAAAATGAACCACTTCTCCACACATAAAGAACCACGGGCTGTAAACGGTTCCAGGTTCCAGCCTTCGGTATATCAGTTTAGAGAAAGCGTCTCTTCAGCCTGTGCAGCTGTCTGCTCGTGCTCCAGATCATTTTTACATCTATTTTCTTTTTTACGTCTGTTTTCTCTCTTTACCCGAGCTCATAATCCTCAGGCAGGTCTTTGTGATCAGGAGCTTGCTGGGAAGCCAGGGTGTACGACAGCTTTAAAAACCACCAGAGACCTTCATCACCATCATCATCATCATCATCATCATCATCATTGTAAACGACATTATAAATCTTTTACTTTACCCAACGACACGGTCAGAATGGAGCATGCTCTATGGTGGAGACAGCACAGGAAGAAGAGAGAGAGGCAGATGACAGTTATCGGTTCATTGGACCAATCAGCAATTACACAGTATCAACAGGACCGAGAGGAGAGGAGAGGAGGGAAGAGAAGGAGAGAGGAGAGGAAACGAGGAGAGGAGAGGAGAGGAAAGGAAACAAGTAGAGGAGAGGAGAGGAGAGCAAGGAGAGGAGAGGAGAGGAGAGGAAACAAGGAGAAGAGAGGAGATTAGAGGAGAGACAATAATACCAGGGTAGGAAACTGATTTTACATCTGGTAGTATTCTGCATTTTCCTTATTGTCAATAAATCCAAAAAAAAAAACAACAACTATTAAAACTCACTTTTACTTTTTCTCAGTAAGAAAAATATAGAATATTTCCAGATTTAAACTTTAAAATATAAAATCAAGCATCCGTGTTTCCCACCCTGCGTCCAGCTATCTACAGTCACAACAAAGTCAATAAGACACACAGCTACAGCAGAAACAGATACCTGTCTGAAAACCAGGTAATCACAGGATGAGAGAAAAGGTGAAGAGACACACAGAGTAAGTCAATGATTAGTTTTCATAATCACACATGCACATTTCAGATGAAAATTACCAGGACAAAAATTTAGAGTTCATGATAAAGATGCTGTTATTGTGCTGAGACAGACTACGGCTCAAGTAGGTTTCTTACCACAGAGGGGGCTACACAGTCTGTCTGATACTTTCCCAGACAGACAGACAGACAGACAGACAGACAGACAGACAGACAGACAGACAGACAGACAGACAGACAGACAGACAGACAGACAGACAGACAGAGGCATACCTGTGGTGGATGGGGGCGTGGGGGAGGAGGGGCATGTGGGAGGGGAACTGGCTCCAGAACCTGTAGATGCAATGAAAAGCAGATCAATCAATCACCAGAGACAGCAGGGCGCTTCCCACTGACAAAGCTTTACTGTGACAGATGGAGAGACGGACAGACAGCAGATATCCACAGGTTAGGTTTGAACACAACTCGCCGCTTAATTAGTTTTAGCTGCTGTACTCAAATCAAGTGCAAAGTTAAACTAACTAAGTTAAGTAGCAGCAGCGACCTACCAGAGTTATTGTTGTTTCTGACAGAGACGTCTTCCTCATTTTCATACGCTGACTGTCGGGACTTCTGCACAGACACAAACACAACATTGCTTTAGACTTCAGATGCTGTAATGTGATTTCATTATAGTCAACATGCATCATTTCCAGTACGGTATCCATTGGCAACATGTACTACCTGTTGGTGACTTGTTGAGTTGACGTCTGTCGCACAGTCCTCAAACTGACAAGTGTTTGATTTCAGTCTTTCTAAACAGCTGAGATATATTTGTCTGGGTTCCTGTCTTTATTCTAAGATAAACAGGTAACTACACTCTAACAAAGACAGTGACATCACATCCCATGAGTCTTAGTGACGGAGGTACTGTTGCAGTTTATTTTGAGCCGTAGTTGAATGCTTTCAGAATAATTTGTTTTGTGATGTTTGCCAAGATGTTTGTTCATGTTGATGTTCGGATGTCGTGAGGTTTCTTTGTATTGTTGTGTGTGAGACTCTGCTGCCTACCTTCCTCGCCAGAATCTTCCTCCTCTTCTTCTCTTCCTCTGAGCCGTGGTGAGACTGAGCTCTGGTCAGCCTCCTGTGCTGGTGGAGCTTCAACCAAACAGTCATACGCAACATTACCCTCCTTACAAACAGCAAACTTCATATTTACAGGCTGGAAGCTACAAGCTGCTTTATGCACTGAAACGCGTTAGCATCACTGCTAAAGAGGAGAACCACGATGCAATGCCGCCCTAGAAAAGTCAGCATATAATGAAATAAGTGAATCTATGCACTGCTTTTGTTTTCAAGACATTTGTGTCGGTACATCAACACATTCAGCTGCAGGAACAGTATAAAATACTGACCTCCACCTCAACACAGCTGCATAGGAAATAATAAATGTGCATCTTTTCCTAAAGGACCTTGTTAATTCCATTTAATTTCGACACATTTCGGCTGATAATGTAATTAAGTGGGGAAGATTCCCAAAACATATTTTACAATAACAAAATCACAGCAAAACCATACACTCATTTAAATTGGTAATCTGACCTCGGCCTGGAGTTTGCGTTGGTCTGCTTCTAAAAACAGCATCGTGATTCAGGTAAGAGGCGGATGTGGAAAAGCGTAATGGGGCGAACATACAGAACTTTGTTTCTCATTCTGCTCCATGAGGAACAAGGTGAGACACATCTGCTTTTGGTCGAGACTTGATCTGCCTCTGTCAGTTCATGTTGAGCTCAATCTGACTCAGTCAAAATCAGTCATTCAGGTAACACTGTCTGTTTCTATTCTCGTTTTTATCACTGCAGGGTGATAAATCTCAGCAGCACAGAAAAAGGAGATGCTGCTTTGCTGCAGTGAGTGTAAAGACAGTGACAGAGGTCACTACAACTCTGTAGACCGCTGCTGTTCGCCTGCTAGCCACCCTGCCCCCGATACTTCATGTTGCACCTGCTTAATTCCTCAGGTCTGAGAGTAAATCTCAGCAGGTGAGACCTGGTCTACCTGCACCTTAAGGCTTGATAAACCAAGACATCGCCAATCAAGACTTCATGTCCCCCAATGCAGTATCTCACTGATGAAACAGCTGTTTTTCAAATCTGCCTAGACATTAGAAGATATGAAAGTAGCTGCTGAGGGTGCTGCATCCCGTGACCATTACAGGAAGAGCAGCTTAAAATATTCCACCCTGATGTCAGCACTGAGTGTTTGTTGTTGCAACATGGAAAGGTTGTGGGAAAACTATGTTGCAAGGTTTTCCACATCAGTTTTGTCATGAGAGCGTCACAGTTAATGCACTCTCGAAGAAGGGACCTGACCCAAACGTCTCCAGTGGAGCCGCTCAGAGGTATGAAGGTAAAAAACGAATTCAAAGATGGTAAATGAGATTAGTGACGCACCACTCTCTGCTCCTCCTGCAGCCTCTTTTCCAGACTCTCCTTTGCCGTCTTCAGCGCCTCCTTTAACCTGCTGGGAACCTGGAGAAACGGAGGAAGGTTCAGACGTTTGCATTTTTTTCCATCTCAGTTTCAGAATATTTACCCCGACAACGACGAAAAACAGCGAACCCTGTGTAAGCATGGACGAACTCAGACGTAACGTCAGACGGAGCCTCTCACCTTGATCTGGAGTTTTTCAGAGTGCTGGAGCTGGACGTCGCTGAACAACCTGTGAAACACAAACTGTGACTCAACAGCTACAAAAAACAAAATGATGATGTTGTTCTGGTTCCTGCAGATTTCCAGACATTCCTCTGCATTAAAGAGAATCTTTTTCCTGACCACTGTCTCTTCTTGTGCTTTTGTTGACTTTCAGCTTTAAAGAGTCACTTACCACTAGATTCACTTATGCACAGTCACTTCAACATATTGTCAAGGTCCCAGTCTACAGGGTTCACTGCAACGTGAGCATATAACTACACTTGTGCAAATACACAGAGTATAACTTGAAGCTTCAGTGTGGATGGAAGACACAGACAACTTAACCAACAATGTGTCACTGTGTGATTTGGACACAGACTGGATGTGTTCTGCTTCAGTGTCGTCTGACAACTGATGTGTCATTTAAGAATAAAGAGACTCACGGTGTCTGGATGAGCTCCGACACTGTCGGCATCCCGCTCTTACAGGCTTCTGTGGACAGAATGGACTGCAGCACTGACACTGCACACACACACACACACACTACAATTACACAACACACACACACAAACCACACACCACACACACACCATCACACACACACCACAAACCACACACGACCACACACACATACACACACACACACACACACACACACACACACACACACACCACACACACACACACACACACACAGTAAATAAAAATCAACAGAGCACGCTGCTGTACAGACACTTTGAGATGTCAGAACATCTGGAAGTCAAAGGGGACACATGACAGAGTGTGTGTGCATATATATGAGGTGTGTGTGTGTGTGTGTGTGTGTGTTTGTGTGTACGTACCCACAGCTGTGTAGGGGACAGTGGGGTACTGATCAATGGGAACGCTGTCTGGCGGTCGGCCGTATGTCATCTCGTACAATAAGTGTCCAAAGCAGAAGACGTCGATGCTCTCTGTTGTCTGCACACACACACACACACACACACACACACACACACACACACACACACACACGCACACACACACACACACACACATTTATGAATCACTCTGCACATATTAAATCCGAAGGAATTAAAGATGTTTTTCACAGCAACATGAGATAATTCATCCAAAGATATTTCTTTCTCCTGAGATACTCTAATTACTTCAGCCTCTCTCAGACGGGTGTTGCATATTGAATGGCTTGTGACTTCACTGTAAATCTTAATGTGGTAAACATTGTTGTGACATGTTGATGTATTTATGTAATGAGAGTCCCTGGTTTTAGAAAGAAAGAAAGAAGAGTAGAGGCACTTACAGATTGTAAGCATGTATGTGCTAATTCAACTCATTTATGTCATTTAGTTATTTAAGATAACCGATGAAAATTTTTTTAAATCAAAATATGTAAAAAAATAAATCCATGACATAAAACACACCATTGTATCTTTTTAATGTGTTAATTTGATGGAAGTTATTTAATGTTAAGTTTAAACCCACATCACCTGATCTAACCTCGGCTTAACTAATCCAATCTGATCTAACTAGGTTAAATTAACCCCGGTCAGTGTTTACGTACGTTGATCTTCCTGAGCTGGGTGAAGCTGGGTCGTAGCACTGACGGAACTCCCAGCATGCCGTTCTCCACATCCATCAGTCGACACACGCCGTCATCCACAATGACGTTGGATGCGTGCAGGTGACCGTAAAATATGCAGCCATCGTGGAGGAGCTTCAGGCCCTGCACACATACACACAGACTGGTTTAATAAACACTTTGTGGTGTGTGTGTGTGTGTGTGTGTGTGTGTATACCTCCAGGATCTGGCGGCCGTACAGTTTGATCTGCGGCAGTTCGAGGCCCTGGCTCTTCTTCGGGTTGCAGTACTTCTTCAGGTAACTCTCTCTGGTCTTCACCTGAGGAGAGGGAGGAGAGAGAGAGTCAGCAGTTCTTACCGGAACTACTTTCTGCTGAAGAAATAGTCCCAATGAAAACAACTTCCAGTGTCTTCTGTGGTTTATCCAGAATTACAGAGACACTGTTTTTGTAAAGATGTAACATTTCAGAGTGACACTGCTACAGGGAAGAGAGAAAACTGGATTTATGGATCAGATTAGAGGTTGACTCTGTTGTGTGTCATTACTGGATGTCCCTTCGTACAGACTGTAAACCCTGACTTTACTCCTGCTTTGCACAATCATTCCTGTGGTTCTCTATTTTAGTTGCAGCTCTGCCCAATTTCCAACGTTGTAAAGCATGTGTGTGGGGGTGGGAGTCAAATTCTGTCCAGGCATCCGACACACACTCCACACGTGCACACTCACACTCACCCAAACAAACAGACACACACACACACACACACACACACACACACAGATGTGTACCTTACAGATGTGGTCTCTCAGAGAGCCTCTCTCACTGAACGGCCGGATGAGCAGAGCTGAAGACTCACTGGTGCTGGAGAACAACAGCGGACAGAGATATGGAGTCTGTGGAGGAAGAGGAGGAGGAGAAGTTTACTTATTGTTAACTCAAATTAAATGTCAGTCTATTCGTCTACTATTAATATTCATATTGAAATCAACAGAATTCATTAACTTAAGTTGAGGAGATGTGATTTAAATGTATCTGATCCACAGCAAAAAACATGAACGCTATCTATCTAATACATTTTCAAACGACAAAACAAAAGCCAGACACACACACACACACACACACACACACACACACACACACACACACACACACACACACACACACACACAGTGTACGTACAGAGAGGCTGGTTAGCAGCTTCATGGCCGACTGCAGGTCTTTGTCAGACAGGAACTTATCAGGACCCAGATCCACCTACAACACACACACACACACATTTTATTTATTGTCCTGAAATGTTTTCTCTAAAATCTTTGAAGAAGAATGAATTAGTTTGATAATGTGAAAATGTCATTCATGAAAAACCTCAGCTAAACATGTGGAGTCACGTGTTTTCAGAAAAATCCTTCAACAAATCAGGTTTAATCCAGAAATCCATTTCTAGGCCGTAAAGAAGGTCTGTTTTCAATTCCACAAACATCCTCAACAAAACAAACAAACAAACAAACAAACAAACAAACACTCCGCCCCCTCAGAGTCAGCTCACCAGAGTGAAACTGTAGTTAAAATGTTTACAGACTTTATCTGACTGGATGATATTTTCACATCAGTTATTTACATTTGATTGAATTGAACTTAAATCTTTTCTGTGGGAAAATCCCTCAGTGTGGGAATGTTCCTGTAAACAGCTGATTGTTGTCAGAGAAGAAAAACAGGAAACATTTACTTGTTTTCTCTCTCCCTTACAAGTGTCTCTCTTTTAAGAGAAATACATCTGAGCATTTTGAATTTAATTAAATTCATTCGAAATCTTTTTAACTTCGTTTGTAAAGATTCCTACAGATTCTTGAGCTTCTGACATTTTTCCATGTGCTGTTCATTGAACTCAGTCATCGCCACTTAAAACCAAATCCTTCCTGCTGTAACCGCGAGGAGAAATACTTCATTTTAATGCATGTGAAGAAACATTCGCTAATTTCCATCATGATCCATCAGGCTGTGAGGGACTGAAACATGAGGAAATGATCGGGTATCAGACGGGCAGAAGCTGGAAATATTATAATCCTTTAGACATGATTTGGCATATTTTCGTTCAAATACATTAAAGATGATCAATATATGGAAATCTAATTAAACACGTGAACGTATATGTTGAAGATTTAACTTGAAAGCTGTTTTCTGTGGTGGAAACTTGTCTGACATCAATAAACAGAACTGTGTCACATGTTGCTGTTGTAGTGACTCACCCAGCTCAGCAGATACCTCTCCTTGGGCTGCTCTTTGTTTTTAATTAAAAAATATTTCTTCCTGATCCTCCAGCCTGAAACAACAAAGAGCACATCCACTTCTGATAATAAGAATTGAACATGAGAGTGTGTAATGTTTATTAAAACATACTGCATTCTACTGCGTCAGAGGTTTACGTGCCTCTGTGAGGTCGTTTCAGGTTTCATTTGCTCAAATAAAAAGGGAGAACGTTTCTCTTTCTTTTCTTTTGGAGATTAAACAAACTGAAGCAGATAATTCTGTTGGCTCAACGATAATAAAAGACCACAGGAAGTTTGACAGAGCAGCCTCAGGCTTCACAACAACACACTGTCTCCAGGCACGTCTTAAACAGAGAGATGAAAACAATGGTGTCAGTCAGTGTGTTTACATGCACTCATTGTAAATCAGTGGTCAGATTCAGCTGGCACGTCGACACTTTCCCAGGTCAGGTCGAGGACAGAGTGACTGAAACAGTTATCAGTCATTTGAATTTGATTCACTGATTCACTGACGACAAACAGTGTGTGAAAAAAGACAATCGCTCATATACATGATGAATATAATGAATATATGAACACAGCAAAGCCAAAGTAAGCATGAGCATGTTCACATTAATGATAGCATTTAGCATTAGCACTGCCTGCATGTACTGTGTTAAAATGTCAAGCGACTGTCACTCAGGTTCAGGTTCACCACCACCAGACTTACCGATGTCTCTGAGCGGCTCCAGGACCTCCCACTTCAGGTCCGACCTGAAGAACATGGAGACCTGCTGCAGGGCGATCTCTGACACACAGACAGAGAGAGAGAGAGAGAGAGAGAGAGAGAGCACACTTTAATTAACTTTAAAATCAAGAAAAAAGAACAGAGATCAACCAACTTTGAAGCTGATGTTTCTCTAAACCTGTTTTAATAAAGGGAAATCTTTGTCCACTGATGGAGGGATGTCACAGGATCCTGGATTACTGGAAAACTTGAAACTTCATTTCATGAACCATTTAATTTTTTGACTACAGAGGCTTGATGTTTGCTTTTTGCTTTTATGTTTGATGTTATTATATTTACATACTAATTCAAATAAACTGCATTTAAGTTAATTTGTCAGTAACCAAAAACCAAGTTCACTGTATCAGGTGAAAACTAACAGAAAATAGTCTCAGTGAAAACGAGGGAACAAACCTGTGTAGTTGGCGCAGTAGTTGTTGGGGTCCAGGAACTTCTTGACAGTCAGGGAGCTGGAAAGCAGGGGATGCTGGGTAATAGAGTCCAAATAGGTCTGCAGTCCTCTCTGCCTCTCCGCTATGAACTCCCTGTCCATGTTTCCGATCAGCTTCTTAGGAGGAAGAGGGAGGCTGATACCGCACACCTGGAGAGAGAGAGAGGGAGAGACGGTTCACATTTTTACGTTCAGTTTGTTTTCTTATCACAACGATTGTGTTACTGCGTTTTCCTCTGTCCATTGTCATCCTTTTTTGTATGTTTCAACTACGTATTTATGAAGCTGAAAGTCAAATTGAATAAAATGAAGACGGACAGACTCTCAGCAGGTTTCCAACGGTTCTGCTGCACGCCGACTGAAGGGTCAGGGGCTGATGGGAGGTCGGGGTCAGTGTGAGACCCGCACAGGAACTGAGCAGACAAAACCTCAGCAGAAAAACTGCTAACTTCCTGTTATCCAGGAATGATGTGAACTGACTATAAGACAAGTCACAACCATAACAATGTGACATACAACCCAAACTCAGCTCAGCTCCAGTCTGCTTCTCATGAGTCCCAGATGTTCACACGCTGAGCGCGAGCAGTTTCGGTTGCGATGTGACGATATTACACATGTACGGAGCAGAACTTATGGAGCTTCTCTTCACCATTAATCATCATGTGACTCTCAGATTTACTTTGTGACCCATTAGAGGAATACTGAGTCCATATTTTAGTCCATTATTCTACAAACTCCTCAGTTTTTAGACAGATTTCCTTTCTTTCAGTTGTGGAAATTTTAAGTGGTAACTGATGGTCAACTTGTAAACAGGAATTACGTAAACTGACTGGAATATAGCAGATTTATACGGAATGTGGGACCTGTAAAGAGCTTTGAAACAGTCTGAAATCATACTTTTACCCAAGGCAGGTTTAACCAGCTCCAACTGTTTTCTGCAGAGGATCAGTTTTAATCAAATTTTAGATTATTTTTTGTTGAAATTAAAACTTAACAAAACCACAGCATGCTTATAGACCACTGCACTCTACTAGCATTGCATCAGTGCACATGACTGATCAATGGTTAACACATACCTGGGGCTGAGGTCTCAGATTTTACTGCAGCATGACATTGACCATATTATTCTTAATGACAAGCTTAAAGTTCACTGAGGTTTTTAACCTCAGTGATTATTTTTCAATGGAAGTTTCTCTAACAGCAAAAATGCCTTTGGAGTTTCACAAGAAATTGGCTTGGGTCCACTTTTGTTTTCAATTTGTACTTTTTGGAAAGCGATGGGAGTCTGAATTTAAAAAATAAACAGAACTTCAAATATTCTAATTGAAGATGATTTTATTTTCTTGCCCTCACGTCAAAAACTGATACAGGTCCAGTGCAAGCCGGTTGTGGTGTTACTAAGGGTGGTACTATGTATAGTGTCATGGTATTTCACAAAAATGTGCACATTGGAGCTAAATAAGACACAGTGGCAGCTGCATGACGCTGTACTTTGGCCCAGTGATGCGTGAGCTAAATGCTACAGTCAGCATGCTTACATGCTCACAATGACAGTGCTACAATGATAATGTGAAGCAGATATAATATTTACCAAGTTCACCATTTTAATTTAGCATGCTAACATTTGCTAACTAGCACAAAACACAAAGTGAAGCAGAAGGGAATTGGAATATCTGGTCATAAACCAAAGTACTTGATGCTGCCAGCACGGCTAAAAATGAAATACAAGACGAGCTGGATCTCATCAGTAGTCGAGAGATACCGTGCTTTGAGATTGTGCAGTACAACCTTAAAATCCATTCCAAAACCAACAGCTAGTCAGTACAAAGATAATCATTGCCTTCACACAGAGCAAGCCGAGTCTTCTGGGAAATTGATGACACAATAGCAAAACCTTCAATGTGTTGTAACATATCATCATCTCCCAAACAGAAATTGGCTAAAATGAACTAATATGTGTAAATGTGGACTGCGAGACTTATACTCTTGTCATCAGGCTGATGTTTTTATATACTGAAACAAATTATCTACAACTCACTTCTTCTTTGCTGCTCGTTCATCCTCCAAAGCAGATGCTACATGTTTCTGTGGTTTCCTTTTGTTTTTCTCCTGTTTCTTACTTATTATCAGGTTGTGGTCGACGACTAGCGGGGGCAGGGCCTGCTGTGAATGATGGATGAATGATTGTGACTGGTGGTTTGCTGTGAATGCAGAGCCTGAATGTCACTCACTAGCAACAAACCCCATGAATCCAAGAACCCTTAAATTGAAGTAGGTGATGTTGTATCAGACAGATTTCTCTTTTAGATGGAAAATGACAACTGTGCAAGTTTTCCCTTTGCATCAAGCAGCAAAAAAGTTTGAGTTAATTTTCCTTACTTGACATTACACATCCTGCGATGAGACTAATTGTGCACGAATACTGTGCAGCCCTAGTGGCTGTGAAAAGTTTGTAGTCCCAAAATGTCCACAGAAACTTCACAAAGCACTGCTGAAGCACAACACACTTCTCTGCCGTCCATCTGTAAGATCAGCATGTTGTAAACACTCAGAGCTGTTGACGTTTGACTGAAACATGTGAAACTCACCATCAGGCTGCTGTTGAGAACATCAAAGTCACTGTAGCGGCGAATCACCTGCAACACACACACAAACCTGTCAGTTACTGATAGAGACTGATTCATCAGTTCATCTCCTCACAAATCCTTATTGGTCCAATGATCCGGGACAGACGTTTTCTTTATGTTAAATTCTCTTTTTATTGACTTTAAAGAGAGAATGAACATCAGCTGAACATTTATTTTTTTTAAGGGATTTATCCACAAGCCAGTACTATTCATAACAAATATAAATCTCTCTACTTCAGAGATGGTTCAGCTCAAAACTAAAAATAACTTTGGTTTGAAAGACAGTTTCCAGGATGCTTTGAATTTTAGTCGAATGAAACCACTGAGAGACAACTCCAAAATATATGACAGTGATTTGTGTCTTTGTTCCCTGGCTGATACACTTTCATTGGTCAATATTTCTGCCAGAAAAGCTGATCGATTGGTCTTCGAGGCAACGCATAATTACATTTTATTTTTAGGTGACTTCCAGCGGCCGTGGCAATTATGATGGGAGCAAAAGAGGAAGTCAGGTGACGTCGTATAAAGAGCCATAAAGTAAACATCAGGAGGAGGGCGGGGTGGATGGATGAGTCAACAAAACACAGGTCTATCACACAGGAGACCGCCGTTCTTTCTCATGTGAAATAAATAATCAACGTTCTTCCTTTCATGCATGACGTTAACACAACCTTAACCATAACCATGACAACCAAGGTCAGGTGTGCCTGCCACTGGTACAATCCTGTGGGTCATCCTATCTGGTATCTACCTATCAGGTTGGAGGACTGACACCTGATGTTGTGATTGGTTTATTTACCTGCCAGCTGTTGTCTGAAGACACGCCCCTCTGGACTCTGATGATGTACTCCTGAGAAACAGAGAGAACAAGGCCATTAAAGCATATTATCACTATCAATTGATCCTATTTATAATAAATAAAATGTTATAAGAAGAAACAGTAATGGTTGAAACAATGAGAAGTAAGAATACTGAAACCTGTATTATTATGACAATAAAGAGAAATTTATGAGAAAATGGTCATAATTATATCAAAATAAATTCACAGTTCTGTAAGAAATGACATATCATGAGAAAAGGTTGTAATTTCACATGTATCAATCCATAATATTACACGATACAATGTAATTTGATGTGAAAAAGTCACAATTTCATGAGAAAAGTGATAATATTGCAAGACTAAGTTTTTGAGTTTAAAAAATATGGCATGAAAATTAAGTTTTAGTTTTATGAGAAAAATAAGTAATATCAATATCAGGAACAAAATAGTAATATAATGAATACAAATTTGTATTTTTTACAAAAAATATAGTATTATGATAATAATATTATATAATAATTCATAATATTTTAATGAAAAAAGTTGTAATAATATGAAGTTGTTGTTTACTTGAATTGAGTGTTAAGTCTCATTTAGGAAGGATGTGATGAAATCTGAGCCAATCAACCCAACCTAATCACATTTTGTTATATTTTTGTAAATGAATCTCTAATAATGAATTTTTTGTCATAAAACAAAAAATTTCTCATATAATAATATAACTTTACTCACAATCCTGACTTTATCATTAACATTACAGCTTTTTTCGAATCATTACATGTCAGAGAGGTTTATATTAGGAATACAAAATAGTACAAATTTATAAGATTTCTGAATTGTCTCAGCATCACTCAGGAATCCCTCACTAAATTGTCAGCAATGTTCACTGCATCCCACAAAACAAACCTATTGGAGGGATAGAAATGACCCACTTTGCCACTCTTAGATTGTTAACATTAATAGAGTAAAAACAAGCGTGCCACCCTCAAACAAAAAGGCCACATTTGAACCTGAATCAAAGGGGTTTTCATTTTGTTTTTCACTTTCTCTTTCGTTTCCAAATAACTGGCTTTGATAATACAGTTCAACTGAGGATCTGTCTGATCATGTCAGTACTTTCATTGATCTCTGTAATGAAGCTGCTTAGGGAAAATGTTCTCAAAACCAACAGGAGAGAAATGATGTAAACATGGAATTTTCCTTTATTCTAATCCTCTCAGACCTCTTACAGTCGTCCAGTTCCTGCAGACAGACTGAGTTCTGCTCTAATCCTGCATTCATTCAAGTGAGCTGAGCAGCTTCACAAACAGCCAAGACTCATGACTGTAAACAGCTGAAGTCCTGACACCAGCGACAGTTAAAAACAGAAATGTTACACAATAAGGATGCAGCAAAGCGCTGGACTGGCATCAGCACCAGCACTGACCTTATTCAGTAGATCAGGTATCAGCCAGATGTGACTATCCACAGTTTTCTAAATCGGTATCATATAATTCAGTGTTTCTGCTACATTTACGCCAAGCTGCTGACTCAGTCTTTTGTGCCACAGTAATCCTTGGCCTCCTGTTACTTAACATACAATGCAGTGAGCTATACAGATTATTAGGGTCTAAGACAATATGAGCACTGATATCAGCAGATATCTTGAGATGAGATGCGGAAGTTGGAAAAAAAAAAAAAAACCCACAAATCAGTGTGTCCCTATTCCATTTTTTTCAAATCTAGACATCTCACAACATACCGTTGAACCAGACCTGGATTTTTAGTAAATTATGTTATTACAAATGTCAAAAATCAGTCTGACATTGAATTGTTTTTGTTTTCTCCTGTGCCTAGAATAAGTTCCATGTAAGTTAGAATTGTACTGTTGCCTGTATCAGCAGTGCATCATGTTCAGTTCATTTCATTATAAAAGTAAGACGCCATTAAACTTGTAATTGGTAACTAGAGGGAAATGATTAGTCATTGAAGCTCAAGATGAATCCAACATTGTGCTGCCCAAACACAATTATACAGTATATGTAGAGGCCTGTCCTCACAGCAGCACTTTAATTCTGGAGCTGTGTATATTGTGACGGATTTAGCATCAAGCAAATCTGCAGTAATTATTTTCTGAATTAAAGAGAAGAGTGGACTATTAGAATAAGGACTGATCCATGTGATGTCTGTTAAACCATATAATAGATTGACAGAAATATATGAACATATTATTAATTGTTCCCATCCGTATGGGAACAACAACAGTAAAGCTAACAGGCTAGCTCAGCTGATTCCAGTCGGACTGTAAACAACAAACCCACAACACCTGCACCCATTATCGGACACAGTTGTCCTACTTTATTTTACTTATAACATGACAAGGCCATTGCCAAGCACGCTGTTTACACACCGTTTTTTTTTAATTATACACACGAGTTCAAAGTACACATTGTAGTTCAAGGTAACACTGACCATAGACTCGGCCCCAACACTAAAGCAGGGAGAAACTCCACGCCAAACTCTATATCAGAAAATCCGACTATTTATTGTTTCCGTGGATTTCAGCAGACGCTCTCTGTAAAATACATGACTGATATAACTTTACATACGGATCAATTTCTTCTCTGTTTCGGCATAGATCATTTACAGAGAGAAGCACTTGTTTCAATAAAATCTCAATATCTCTAACTGGCTCATGGTCTTCTCAATGATTGCAGGAAGTCGAAGAGGAGGGCAAATAATAACCACATAGCCCATTACAGGTGTTTAGTTGAGGTGATGTATGCCGAATGTTAGAGCACACCGTTACTAATTCAAAACCATATATCTTTTGTTGAATAGTGTATTTATTTGTCTTTATTAAAAAAAGAATCAATAGGACGACAAATTAATGGGATCGGCAGTTCGTACAATAGATCAGAGACGGTTCTCGGGGGTTTACGTGTATAGTTTTGGCTCCTGGGCCTTCAGTCAGTCATGCCAACGCTCCAGTCCAAATCCCTTTATATCAGCAGTTTGCTGACTGCGGACGAGCTTCCAGGAAATTGCTTAATCAGTGACAGCACTACAGAACCCGCGTCAGATGCCTCCCCTGTCCGATAATGGAGATACGGCACAACTCCAATGCGCCGCATCACGTTAAAATGACTGTCAACCGACTCACAGGGACGATGGTTTTGTTTTTACAGCTACATTGTCTTCGGTTGTCAGAGGTGGTTTGTGGGTTCTTTTATAATTCAGATAAAGAGACGAAATGAAGCCTATACACCAGTGTCCGATAATGGAACTGGTGACGCAGCTATAGACTTAAACGCCCCCTTCAGAAAAATTTGGCTGTATTTTAAACACACCAGCAGCGAGGCATCTCTCCGCCCGCAGGGAAGCACCGGTGAAAGTTTCACATCTACACTTACACATTGTTATCCTTTACCTGGCGTTTATTTCCAGTAAACACTCACCGTGTGTGACTGCAGGTTCTGGCTGGCTTCGATCACCGCCGTCAGGGGCACGGTGTCGTCCAGCAGCAGCCTGCCGGGGGCCGGCTTCTCCAGGAAAGACATCCCGGAGGATTAACGATGAAAGTCTGATCGGTGCGTCCGTCCGTCACTGACTGAAGCCGCCTGGAAATCACTGAGGCGGAGCCCCGCTGAGCGGAGGAGGAACAACAACAACCCGGGAGAACTAGCTGTTAGCTTAGCTTCACCGTAACCAGGAAGCGCTCCTCCGATTAGACGTCATCAGACCGCTCTGTCGTCATAACTGGAGGTCGGAAAAGGACGCAAGGTGCGTCAACGCGTTACGGTTGCTACCTTACGTCAACGCGTCCGGTAAATTGGACCGGGAATGACTGGCCTGTAGTCATGGATGTATTTTTAGAACTGATTTTAGACCGATTTTTCTTTAACTTATGTGATAGTAAATCTTTTTTTTTTTTCATTAAATTATTTTATTGGACAAAAAAACCTATTTGGAGAAATCATGTTGGGCTTTAGGAAATTCTAATTGGCATTCTTCACTATTTTCTGACATTTTAGATCAAACAATTAATCTAGAAAATAACTGACAGGTTAGAAATCACCTGCTGAGGTGATTGACTTGCCCTCCATGGTGCAGGCTTGGACATCCCTTTAGAGATATGAATTAAAAAACAGCACCACAGCAAGGTGACAGGGGCAAGCATGACGAAAGTAGAGGCATTGAAAGTGAATTGGACTGAAAAGCTCTGGTGTATTTGCACTGTGATAAGACGTAAATGGTCCAAACAAAGTAAAAGATAGCCTTTTTATTCCACACAAAAATTTCAAATGTTAAACAAAATACAGAGCTGATCCAACAAAGTACACATACTCAACGATCAATCATCAACTGACTGACATGTCTCTCTGGTTGGTATGTGTCCAAACAAACGCACTTCTTCTTGTCATGGTTGTAGTACATCATCAAAAAGCAGCAAAAATAACAACATGAAAATAAAGATGGAGCGAATTCCACTGACTACAAAAGCTGCTGCGAACCGACACCATATGAGCTCAGAAGATGCTGAGCTGCACAGTGTGTGCTGCAGCGGCCATATTTAATCACAGACCATTACATTATCTGATCTGGTTACTGTCATGGTGCTGTGACCTCTGACCTCTGTCCTCATCTCCTCCTCCCCATCCTCTCACCCCTTCTTCTGCTGATCCTCGGGCATCATCACCATCACCTCCCCGGCCATCACCACCTTGTCCTTGACCGAGCACGTCACGGTGATCAAGGCGAATGACATCTTGATCTTGAGGACCTCGGCTTCGGCCAGCACCTCCTCACCAACATACAGCGGCGCCGGGAAGCGGATCTCCTGGTGCAGGAAGACACAGCCATGGCCGGGCATCTTTGTGCCAAGCACAGCGGAGATCAGGCCGTTGATGAGGACGCCGTGGACGATGGGCGCCTCGAAGGAGGTGGTGCTAGCGTAGGCCGGGTCCAGGTGGAGGGGGTTGTTGTCGCCCGTCAGCTTGGCGAACAGCTCCACATCGCGGGAGGAGAAAGCTTTAGTGAGGGACGCTCGCTGGCCGACGTGGAGGAGCCGGCAGAGGGGATGAGCTACTGCGATGGTAGAGAGGCAGAGCCGCGGCTTGTTAAAGACACCCCTCCATATGAAACTCATCCTGAAGAAAACGATGCTCCGCCTCCTTCAGTCCAGCTGCAGCTCTCGGCTGTTTCCCGTCAGCGCCAGCAGGAAGGGCGACACCTGAAGATGACACAAGACAAAACCTGTCAAACTGAAAGAAATGTTGTTTTTTTTTCCCCAAACATGGAGATTGACCTTTGACCTTGGGAACTTAGCTGTGATAAAATAGAATGCAGGGCCCCCATTTGACATTTCAAGTGTCTCATATTTTCTTTAATCAGGTCTGATGTAAGAACCACTTAAGAATGAATCTGTTCATACAAGCAGGCAGGTTGTCCGTGAGGCCGACTTAGTGAAAATGAAGTCTGCTAACCTGCAGCACTCTGAAGGCACAGGCCTGGTTCTGGTAGGAGCCCAGCAGAGTCAGAGAGCTCCACAGCTTCACCAAACCCCTGAAAACAACCGCAACCGCGCGCACACACACACACACACACACACACACACACACACACATTAAAAAAAAACATCTAGTCTAGTTCCATCACCTGTAGCAGATGGTTTCAACCACGAAGTGACACAGGAGTGGAAACTTGTTCCTGTCCTGCTGATGTTGACGTCAGTGTGACTGAAGCTCACCTGCTGTAAACACGCAAAATAGCAGAGAGGGTTTCCTCATTGTACTTCAACAGGTCAAAATTCAGAGCTGCTCCCACCTGAGGAACATATAAAATATATTAATGATATGCAGCGAGTCTGAAGATGAATCCAATATCAAAACTGCTTTTATATATTTTCTATTGATCAAGCTAATTTCAGCACCAGCTCGACATTTTCTGGAGGCTTACATTCACAGGTCCTCACAGCTTCTGAGCAGATATCACACAGTGTTCAGCAGCAGTGGGACTCGAACCGGCGACCACGGCCGTGTTAATGAACTCACCTCTCCAAACAGGCTCTTCAGACCTGTGATGATGAACTGCTTAAAATCAACTGCACTCAGTCTGGTAGACTCATCTTCCAGGACACTAAACACACACAGAAATATCATTTGTGATGGATGTAACGGTAGTGCACATAGACTTGTACAGAAATTATAGATCAATACACATTATTTATTTATACATTACTGTGCAAATGTTTTAGGCACTATAGGTAAAGTGAGACCTATCAGACGCCTCCCTGATCGTACCGTTGAATGGATATAAAACTAAACATCTAAAGTGTCTAAAATCTTTGCACAGTACTGAACATTTTATGGAGAGACAATAAAAGAAACTTTGAATTATCACCCAGCTCCTCTGCTGAATGAATTTTAGAGTAAAAAACAAACAATAAACAAAAACATCTTGCAGTGACTTACAGGCAGACCTTCATGTAGTGGTACGGCGAGGCGTTCTTTAACACGACCCGTTGGTAAACAGCAGATTCGCCCTTCTTGTCGACAGGTCTCATGATATTAAAGCATCAGTGATGAGCAGCAGGTCAATCAGCTGACTTCAGACTAAAACACAAACCACTACAGCTTAAAGAGATGTTACATTAACATCAATATGATTTTATATGATCCAGGTCTGTTTGTCAGGTCTGGATTTGTACACAAACCTACCAATCCTGCAGGTTAAACTCAAACATGAAGGTGTTTTCTGTTGTTACGAGGTTGATGCACTGTAACCATGTTATTACATACACCTTCTAAACAACAATACGTAATTTGCACAAGCCTGAAAAGGTTGTTGGTGTATGGATGTGTCCAATATCTGCCAGTGGAACAACAGTGACACAGTTTTCAGGTGGCACACAACAGTGACGTGCGTTTTCCTGTGCCATCAGCCGGTCAAACAGCATTGTGATGCCACTTGTAAAACAGTCAACATATGTCACTATGTGTCTTTCTTGTGTGGAGTCTGAGTGGTATATCATACACCACTTGTCTTCTCTTATTAACATATGCCACCGCTGATTATGTTGAACCAGTGTTGTGTGAAACTTTTGGCCACTTTCACAAAGTCAGACACGCATGGTTGTACCACGAGAAGCTAAACTAGCTAACAGGAGGTCAAACACGAGCTAGCTTAACTAACTAACGACACTAGCTAGTAGCCGCTTGCGATGTCCGGTAGAAATAACTAACGGTTAACAAGCTGTTGTTTGTTATTGCCGTGATGTATAACAAAAAGTTGCAGTATTTTACTCACCAGCAGCACCGACACGACAGAGATAAGAGTGTGTTTTGAGATTACTGCGTCCTAGCAAACAATCGTACCAGCGCATGCGCGATCATTGTGGTGCGTTCAGGTCTTTAATTGCGAGTCGGAGAGAGATCGCGATTATCTGACAACGTTCACGAACTGTTGGCAGAATGGCTGCAAATGTACCACCGCTGTCAGTTAAACCCAAAGAAGATGCAATATTAACAGTGATACATTACGTTTAGCTTATTTAAAAGGAGCTATACATTGTTTGTTTGTATCTGACCATCTGCCGCAAATACGTGATAGAACAAAAACAGCTAATTTAAGGTGTTCAGCTGGTGTGACTTCAAGAGTAAGCGTTATTGTCCCCGCGTGGAAATGTGCTTCGGGCAATAGTGCAATACATGCAGTCCAACTTCCAGCACTACTAACACTATTAACACTAATATTTACCACGTTGGAATAAAGCATGAACACTCCCAATTCAGAGCGGCGGGTCTTCCCATTCTGTTGACATTGCGTCAATGCTGCATGACATCCACAAACAGTAAGCCCTGGTTCATTTCTGTCAGGCAATGGGGGGGGGAAGTATCTAAGTACAATTACTCAATTACATTACTACTTAGAATACATTTTTGAGGAACTTGTACTTTAAATTTTATTTTCTGTTGCTTTATATTTTATACTTCATTTTAGAGGAAGCTTTTATCTGCCATGATAAAGATTTTACATTGAATGAAACATATGACGAGGATTATAAAATACAATGCATGAAACCAGTAGCTCCAAACCGTTTTGTCTTGTTATCTGTGACAAAAAGTAGAGTTGTTCACTCTTCCACCAAAGATTGATTTTTCTTCTAAATTTCTCAGATGGTTTTATTTAAATAACTGTTCAAGGCCCAAAAGAGGTAAATGACTTGTACTTAAGTAAAGGATCTGAATATGATAAAAAAAAGAAATAAATAAACAAATAAGTATTGACAATATTTAAGGATTTCTCAGACCAAATCACATATCTAAATGCAGTATTACATTTCTTGCTACAAGTTTTATTGGTAGTTAAACAACTTTCATATTTACATTGTGACCTGAAGCAGGTTAATGTAAACAAAAATATGCAAAGGTTTTGATGCAAACAAAGAAAGTAAAAACTTAAACTTTCATTAAGAGGCCAAATGTTTTTGTTGAAGAGCCAGATTTTCTATTTGCCTACCACTGTAATACACGTCACATGCACAATACAAGATAGACAACTTGTTGCTGTGGAGTGATACATCTTGACAAAATTATCTCCTCTTTGAAATTCTTGATAGAGCTAGAGACATGTGTCCCCCAGTGGTCTGGTAAATGAAAAAAACAAAAACTAGCGCCCAAGTTTTCAATCAATCAATCAATCAATCAATCAATCAATCATTTTCACTTAATTGGTTTTAATTCTGTAGTCATACACACTCTTTGTACTAAAAGTGTTAAAAGGACTGAATCACTTCATTTATCAAACTTTTTTACTTTCTAAACAGGATAAAAATCACACATAAATCACACTCATTCACCTGCAATGTTTTTCATATGAGGTTAAATATGCAGTCAGGTCCCAGCGGGAGACGTAACACACATACAGACACCAACCATTCAGTGAAACAGAGACTGAAATACAGTTTACTGAAAGAGAAATGTGCAAAATCCTAAAATGTTTTCATTCAACATTAACATCTGAAACAGAGATGACAGTAGAGCTGTGTAAGATCCAACCTAGTAAACACATATATAGGTATATGCTGATAAGTGGAATTTTTGTGCGTTCGTTTAATTTTCACATACGTTGTCGTAGAAAAGTCTCACAATAACCTATAAAAGAGTTTCAATACCACAATCATTACCTCCATCATCATTATCCTCATCATCTTCATCATAACAATCAGTCTCCTCGCCTACATCATCCATTGTGAGGTCAGGGGTCGGTGTAGAGTTCAAAAGTTTTCTTCAGGAATGTTTCTTAGCGTCTTCCCCGGTGACTTCCTGTGCAGACAAGAAGTCCATGATGAGATTGGCGGTTTTCCTGGGTCGCTCCAACGCCACCGAGTGACCGCAGTTGTCCAACAGCTCCACCTGGCAGCCGGGCAGCGCCGCCTGCAGCACAGCTGCCCCCGAAACATCCAGCACCTGAGAGAGGAGACAGGTTTATTAGCAGCTTGTCATGTTTGTTGATTTATTATATTCATACTTCATTAGCAACGTTAGCGGCACGGCTCTGTCGATAGCAATGTAGGTCAGACTAAAATACCTCAACAACTTTTCATGGTCCCCAGAGGATGAATCCTACTGACTTTGGTGATCTTCTGACCTTTTCTCTAGCGCCACCAAGAGGTTGACATTTGTGGTTTTCCATTAACATCTAATCGACCATCTCTGTGATTCACCTACCTGGTCTTCCTTCCCCCAGATGACCTGCAGAGGCGCCGTGATCAGATGAAGGTTTTCCTGCAGCGAGTGACGAGACTTCTCCCCGACGATCTCCATGAACACTGACACACACACACACACACACACACACTCTCTCTGAGCTGCTGCAGGGCTTTTAATGTGCAAGAAGCTTTTTACATAAAAATTAACAAATACACTTATAAAATAGGGGAAATTAGAAATAAAGGCGTGCTTCTTAGTACTGTATCATTGATCCATAATCTGTCACAGAGAACTTCGTTTAATGGAGCAACAGAAGAGGAGGAAGAGGAGGAAGAGGAAGAAGAAGAAGAAGAAGAAGAAGAAGAAGAAGAAGAAGAAGAAGAGGAGGAGGAGAAAATCAGCAGAGTGATTCTATAGACTGACCTTCTCTGTAGAAATCATTGTTGGGGATCCTGTTGTCCAGAAGACCTCGCATGACCTGCCAACACACACACACACACACACACACACACACACACACACACACACACACGATATACTGATACTTTATATTGAGGAAGCGAGCTGTGTGAAGCCTTGAAAGAGTCTTAATGTTGATTTGAGAGCAGGCAGCACAGTCCTGTACCTGTCGGGGGAGGTTGAGGGAGGTGTGACAGCAGAGTCTCAGCATGTTCTCCAACTCCTGAGGAGTGGTGGGGATCAGAGGAATCGCCTCCTCCTCCTCCTGACTCTTCTCCATCTCCCTCAGACGAATGATGAACTCAGAGTCTGTGGGATAAACCAGACCTGGAGGACAGAGAGGAAGAGGAGGAGGAAGGTTTGAATCCTGGAGGGAAACGCTGAAACGTCATGTAGATCAGACGCCTGCTGAATTTACCTGCGGGACACACCAAGCTGACGCTGGACAGGTGAGCAGGGTAGCGGGCAGCATACACCCCTGCCACGTTCCCACCCATCGATGTGCCGACCAGGTGGAAGGGTCTTTTATCCAGACCGATGCTCTGCACAAACTGCACACACAGAGAAGTGTCACATATTTCATTGTCTCTCAGGAGAACAACAGCGTATCCCTCCGCCCAGTGCCTCCATGCAGCACACAGGTTTTAGTTTTAGTCTTTGTTCAGACATGATAGATGGTACCACATCAAAGCTGCACACGCTGCACCACAACAAGAAATAGTTCCAGCTTGTAACTCCCCCGAAAACCACAAATCTTTGTTTTTTAAATCTCTGTCTGTGAACTGATTAAACGTATGAGATACAACATGATAGTTAGTGAGGTTTAGAGGTGTTGGTAGGTGGATATATACACCCTGTTTCCAGTCTTTATGCTAAGCTAAGCTAACCAAGTCCTGACTCCAGCTCCGTACAGGAGATAAATATCCATCTTCTCATTATATTCTTTAATGTATTTCCCCAGACTGTTCCTTAAAGTAACTAGTGACATTGCAACCGACAGTGAGATGGTGCAGTCTGTTGGGATTCACAGAGCAAAGCTGAAGAAAGATGAACTGAGTCTTCCAGAGCCGGTCAGGAGTCCAGAAAATGCGTCATTTTATTCTCTGCACGGAATAAAATTACAATTCATCACTCACTTTCTCCCATGTGTGTTTTATAAAGCATTTCGACTGATGTTGCACAGTCTGATCCTTAAACTCTCTAGATCCGTCTCTCACCGAGGGGTGTGGGTTTTGTACAGACCTGGTGGATTCGGCCGACCTGGCCCTGGATGCTGTAGTCCTCAGCACAGGTGCGACTTGTCCCCTCGTGTCCCGGCATGTCCACGCACACCACATGCTGGTTCCTGGGGATGTGCTGGAGGAGAAGAAAACAAACACACCCAAGACGGACGGAAATGAGACGCGCGTTCACACTGGAAAAGTGACAAAATGTGGTCGATGTTTGAGGATAGATAGATAGATAGATAGATAGATAGATAGATAGATAGATAGATAGATCATGACACCTTCTTTCCTCTCCTCCTCCCTTCCTCTCATCTATTTCCGTTCTGTCCTCTCTATCCTTTCGCTTGCGCACATTTCGAAGTGTCCAGGTGTTTCTAAGTGATGAGCCGGGCATTACAGTGTGTATGTACTGTATGTGTTACCTTGACGACGGGCAGCCACATGTCCTTGGTGGCGGAGAAGCCATGCAGCAGCAGCATCGATGGTGTGGCGCCCCCCGGCGTCCCACGGCTGGAATAACAGAAGCGGTAACTTCCACTGTGAGAGTAGCGGACCACCAGCCCCAGCCTGCGGCGCCAGTACCTGGGGAGGATTATAACAGCATCACTGCGGGTTATCACGCGCCCACGTCGTCTGAAGTTGTTTGAAATTGCATAAAGAGACATCTATATTATGTGTTGAGAGATTACAGAGCCACACAGGTATGAGTCACACTAATATTGGCAGAACTGGTTTCAGGTTCTAGGCACCATTTAAATGGAAGCAACCCTCAAACTAGACTCTTACATTTCCCTTAGAGATTTTAAATCTCTATTATCTGATGTATTTTATGACTATTGTGAATGTTTTTGTCAATTCTTCATTTCTTCGTTTCTTGTATCGTGTAGTTCTGATGTTTTTGTTGTTGATTGTCTCTTGCTCCTTTAAGCTAAGGTCTCTATGGAAAAGAGTTTAATCTAAATGAGATTGCCTGATTAAATAAAGATGAAATGAATAAAATAAATGTCCTGTTCTTTTTATCTATTTTTATGTAAAGCACCTCTGTGTATTGTCTTCACAGTTACACTTTTTATGAGACCATATGTTTGTCATTTCATAATTGGGGCTTACAGTGCAAAGTTTGTACAGAGGGTGGCAGCAGAGGGAAGGTCAGGGGGTCACTAACATCTGAAAGGTTCATCCTCTGGAGAGCAGGATGGGATCAGGAAATCTCATCTAAATAAGATCAATAGTTGTTGATCGACTTTGTGCCACTCACATCATGTGTTTTCCTCAAACGTAAGAGTCTGCATGTTCACAATGTCAGTGTTAATGTTAATGTTTAGCACGATAGATGTTCCCGTCTTATTTCAGCTCGTTAGCATGATAACATTTGCTAATTAGCACAAAACTACAGCTGACACTGACGGGGATGAACCTGATGCCCTAGATGAAAAGTCAGGGTAACACCAAAGTTATTTAGCTCAGTCCTCGGGGCCATGGACCTCTGCACCAGATTTCATGACAATCATTCAACTATTGCTAAGATAATTCACTGAAAGCCACAATGATGTCAACCAGCGTCAGAGGAAAAGTCAAGGTCCACAATAGCAGTATTCATCCTCTGCACAAAATGTATTGAGTACAATATTTTTCTCTGGGCACAGTATTCATAGATACAGGTCATAACTGAAAAAAATCAATCAATATGTTTGATATGCTTTTAAACAATTTCTTTACTGTCGTTCATATTCTTATAATTACCTAATTTTTTTTTTTTTTGGGGGGGAGTTAATATTTCAGTGTTTTCTAACTTGATCTTTAACTTTTATTCAAGTTACAAAACTGCTGATAAAACTGTTACATGACAGTGACTCAGCACTTTAATGTGTATGTGTGTGTGTGTGTGTGTGTGTGTGTGTGTGTGTGTGTGTGTGTGTGTGTGTGTGTGAGACAGAGAGAGAGAGAGAGAGAGAGAGAGACAGAAATAGCAGCTATAATCTGTTTTTTTTTTACAACTTAGTCAAAGTCCAGTAGGAAAGGTCACACTACTACCAGTCCTGCTCCTTCACAATAAGAGCGCATTTTGGAGACAGTGACATTACAGCTCAACAACAGTCTGTAGTGCACAGCTGAACACTGACAAAATCATTTTTATCTAAAGATTTTAAAATACACATTGTGTTTACAACAGCAAGATCATGTGTTCAAACAAAAACGGGTTAATCATCTGGAGAAAATGAATGATCTCAGTGAATTAAAAAGTAAATTCAAGTACATTAAAAAAAAAAATCAGATCAGTATTTGTTAAGGTTTGTTGGTCTGGAAACCAAATTAACTTGTCTGAGTATTATACTCTATCAGAAGTATTTTATTTTACCATTGTTTCTCTTTTCTCTTGAACCTGTTTTTGACCAACCCTGCCCCCATTTTTCTTCACCACCACACACTTGACCTTTGTGTAGTGCATGCGCAAAAGCCAAGGGCGAGTGTTGCTCTGTGCTCACACAGTGACAACATCATCACAGATAAACCTCCTGAATCTCGGCCTGAGGAAGAATCACCACGGTCATACTTACGCAATTATTGTTTGCAAAACCAAAGCTGACATCCCAGCAATTTCCCATGAACAGTGGGGTGTTTTATATTTATGATTTATATTATGACCTGTAAACAAGTAGGAACATTTTGCAATAAACTCAACTGATGTGATTTTCTTTGTCAGAATTTCATATCACATGTACATAATCAAAGTAGTCTGAACTACTTTTTCTAATTAGCTTTAATTAAATAAACTACATTTATCCGTAGGGGAGCTCAGCTTCTTCCACTGTCAGGTCATTGGTAGCTGACAAAGTTCTGCTTTCAAAGTAGCTTCCTGTCTATGCTCTGCTACATAGAAGAATAGAAAACTAAAAACTTGAAAATCACAGTACTTTTATTTCTGTTCATGCCTTGATTACCCGAGAGGAAAATGGTATTAATGAAAATTTTAAAAAATTATCTTAAAATATAAATTTATAGCTACGTTTGACATTTGTGTAATGACCTCTTAATTAAATGTATAAATCCAATTGTAGGAACAAGTAACGAGTAAACATAAGTTACTAACTTTGACGCATTCTGTCAGTTTTATCTGTTATTTTTGGAAAACATCATCTCATGAAGTAAAATCTGTCAGATCATTGCTAACATTAAAAACTAATAAACAAACATGAACTAATCACCAGTCTGTTGTATTTCTGGGTGTGTTGGTGTTTTTACCAGTTGTAGGCCTTAAGGAGCGCTCCGGGCCAGAAGACGAAGGAGGTGATGAAGGCCAGGACAGGCAGAACCAGAACACCTCCAGCTAGCATTGTTTTAGTAACACCCAGCTCCATAGCTGCACACTCCTTTCAAAATAAAACACACAAAAACACAAACGTTGTTGTCTCAAATGTGGATGCTGAGCCATTCATGTTATGATGGTTATGATGAGCTTAAAGGCAGTTTCACCATTCCTTCTGTGTGATTAAATAAACCAACTCAGAAAGTTTGTTTGTTTACTGAGTCAGACAAGAAGGTGAATATAAGTTTCATACGTGTGTTCAGACTACTTAGCCTAGCTTAGCACAAAGACTGGAAGCAGAGGGAAACTGTTAGCCTCCGTCAGCTCAATTTCTTGCCCAGGAACCTAAAATATCCCAAAATGTCAGCGTAGCCATTTAAATGTTTAAAATCAGTTGTGGTGTTTTTATGTGTCCTTATAAAATAACAACAATGGCAGTTCAATCCAGTTCATTGCTGAAATCTTTTTTTTTCTGCATTTTTGATTTTATATTTAATTTTCTATAAATAATGTTATAAGAGTCTGTTTGTCTATGTGTAAAAAAATAAAATAAACACATAATCATGTAGCCTATATGTAAAAAATAATCCAGAAAAGTGGATCTTGAAGTGGGAATGTTTTGCCAAATAACTTTGTTCCCAAGGATCAAGAATAAACTTTTATGTTTTAAACCAACACACATGACAAGTACTGTACAAACTAAACCCGCTGATGAAGACTGTGACACGGTTGAAAGGACTGAAAAGTAAGTGGACGTTGAGTTGCGATTGTCAAAATAAAAGTGTATATTTGTCAGCAGCAAAGAAAAGAGTTTACATTAAAGAAGCTAAAGCGGAACTTCACCTTCACCTAACCGTCGCTGGTTTCCTGTTAGTTTTCCTGTTAGTTGCTTTTCATTTTGAAGGTTCAAGGGTGAGAGAATAAATCTGAAGCAGCTCCGAGAACCAGCAGATCGACATCATATATTTCAGACACATGTGTATCCTGGTTATGATTCTCTAAGCGTCCTTTCAACGTGTGTTTCAAAACACAACATCTCACACATGAACATAACACGGACACTGCAACACACACACGCATAAACACACACACACACACACACACACAGTGGCTCAATCGCACCGTCAGATGCTGCAGTTGAAGACAAATGAAGCTGTTTCATTATAACGTGTCTATTATCACCTGAGCAGGAGAGGGACCGTACCTGTCAGAGTCCTCTTCGGTCTGTCACCGCCGGCCGGCCTCCATTCAGTCCGCTCCTCCTCCTCTTTCACCCAAATTACGCAACACACTTTCATCTGCACTTAAAGGGGAAGTACAAAGAGACGGGCCGTGCTGCGTTCAGGCAATGTTGGAAATATATATTTTAAAAAAAAAGACCGTTTTCCTGTACATGTGATAGTAAAAAAAAAGAAAGAAAAAACGCCACACGAGGGCGCCACCAGCTCAGGTCACATTTACATCCTACAGCAGGGGTGTCACTCATTTTCACCAAGGGCCACATCAGCATAATGGTTGCCCTCAAAGGGCCAGATGTAACTTTGAGGCAGTATAAATGTAGCTAAATGTAACTAAATGTAATGTAAAATAAATGCAACTACTCCTTAATGTTAAATAACTCTGGATTTTTATGATTCAACTTACAAATATTACATATATATTTGCACATATGTAAAAAGAAATGTTTGCTTGTTGCTCTGTTATAACATAAATTATTTTAATTAGTAATTTGTCAGCTTCTGAAACCCACATTACTCCATCAATCAACGATCAAACTATCCAAGTGAATAAGGATAAATAACAAGTTATGACATTAACTTTGTCATAGTTGAGGGGGGGCAGAATAACGGTCCAACCAACAATTGTGAGCTGCTAAGAACATGTGTGACAGGTGTAGCATTTTACACAAACAAATGGCTGCACAGCCTTGCAAGGGGATACATCCAACTAATGAGAGATGGTTTGATTACAGTGAACATTTGTCGGCATAAACACATAAACCTGCAAACACTAAATACATTGCTACCACTTTGCTGAGAAAATAAAACCTCCGACGCCGTGGGACTCGCATCCAGTACCAGGCAGTTGATTGGTGCAAGCAAAGAAGATACAACAGCCCGGGAAATTTTACTCACCGAGTATCACACTTACTGACCGTGCACTGCTCACAGAGCCAGGTTTCAGTTCATTGCAGCCATGTTGGTTTTTCTTGTGTCTGTATATGAGGTCATGGCACTGTGCTCCCAGTCACTGTATGTTGGCAGTTGTGTCTTTATGTTATGACCCAGCTAGGGGAAAAAGGGAAGCAACATAAAACCAGGTGTTATTAGTCAATCAAATTTACTGATTTAATTTATTGCATAACCAGGAGGGTAAATAAGTAAACAAAAATACTAACAAGGCTAGAGGATAACTGAAGTAGGGGAACGGGAGCCAACAAAGAGCCTAACTATGCGATTCTAACCAACCCAAAAACACAAGAAGCAGCATCCCTGTTCCTAATGTGTCCAACAGTCTTTTCTAAGGGTGTGATGCAAAGTCAGAATTTTAAACCTAGCCCAGTTCCCAACAATCAACACCAGCATCTCAAACCAAATCACAAATTACACACAAATGTTCACAAAGGTGGTACAGAGGCGAGCTGCCTATCATGTCAGCCGCCACTAATGATGTACTCACTGGGCTCTTAAACTTTCTTCCTCTGATGCTTAAACGGCAGCAGCTGTGGTGAGGGCTGACAGGTTAATTGCTGCACCAATAGGAGAAGCCGTGGAGTCGAGGCTCCGACAGGGACAAGTCATCCATCAGTTACTGTTAAAATGCCCGAGCTTTGTGCAGCAACAGGCTGTAATAACAACAAAAACGGATCTGTCCTTCCTTTCCCAAAGGATCTAGACAGGGATAGATTTTAATATTAGCTACTGTCACATTTCATGCCAGTTGCCTTCACTTGAGGGAGGGGTTGAGGGACAACACCCAATTAGGAGACCGGAACTGTCTCATTTCATACCATTGGCGCTGCCTGTAGTGCAGCATCTTCTGTATAGACGATCTTTGCTCTGTACGGCCGCCTACACCGGCTACCTGACCACAGCAGGCTCCTGGATACGTGGTACAAAGTCGCTGCTAACACAGTTAGCATTCATAATTCGAGGTAAACTTTATATCTTAGTGTTAAAATAATCTTAATAGCTAATTGCATACATGTCCACATTTGGTAAATATCACATATATGAGGAGAAAGCTTGTAATATTAGCTGAAGTTACTGTGTGTAAGATAACTGTGTGGTGTAACCGCTTTTATTAAAACCATAGACCGAAATAATACATTTTTCATATTTTGATATTTGACACAGAAAAAAAATTAATAATTTGATAATAACAGAACTTTAAAACAAATGAGATCAATGTAAACTAAAATAACTAAGGACAACAGAGTCACAAGATGGAGGATGAATCTGGGGCCCTTGAGGGTCTAGGACCCCAAAATCTAGTTAGCAAAAGATTTTTTAAATTATTTAGTCTTTAAAGATAAATAACCATTCAGTGGTCACAGAATATGATGTAACACCAGTGCTCTATAGAAAAAAAGGATTCACGCAGAGATTAAAGAATGATAAAAGTTGTATTGTTTCAGCTCCAGGGTTTCATCAACTTCCTCAAAGTCCTAGTAAAAGGTTCTGCGTATTTCAATGTACAACAAATCTGTAGCCAAGAAGTAAACACACCGTTTCCCCCCCACACTCTGACGTGAAGTGCTTAACAATGTCACACTATTATAACTTCATCTCATTTAAAGAGTTTCATTTAAAGTTTGATACATAACGATTCAAAAAGTTTAGATTATCTGGAGTTTTAGCATTAAAATACAGTGAAATGTCATAAAAAGCCGCAACATATTCACAGAATTCAAAATAATGGCCTTAAATTGGAAGAAGATTTTATAATCAGTTTTTTTTCTTCTTCTAATTTGGATGAAATCTAAAAGTTCAAAACTGCTTTCACAACATTTCTACTCTCCTTGGCTACATACAGTGTCTGTGACTGATCGAGGCCGGATCAATTTTCTTGTTAATCTAAATTAAATTGAATTTATTACTCTGGACCTACCAACCTTCACTGTATGTGGCGGTTTCATTGTCTCCCTGACACACAGAAACATGCCAGTAGATACTGCAGAGGTGAAATTATTAGTTAATAGATTAGCCAACTGACAGAAAATGTATTATTTATTATTTTAGATATATGATTAATAAACCTCACTTTTTTTTTTATATTTTCCTGTTTTCCCAGTTAATTATGACAGTAAACTCATCATCTTTGTGACTTTGATTGTTGGTCATAACAGTTAATTTGAATATGTTAACTTGAACATCAGGGAGTAGTGATGTCATATTTCACCATTTTCTGACATTTATTCACTAAAAAATCAATTAGCTGATAAAGAAAATTACCATCAGATGTATTGATAATGAAAATAATTGTAAGTTGCAGGCTTACAGTTACTGATGGAATAACACAACATTAAACTGTGAGCAACCCCACTCACACAGTCACATCATTTTAATATATTGTTACTATAAATATATAAGTTATAGCAGCTTTAATGTTACAGAGAAACAGGTCCGTGCATGACGTATGCTACCAAAGCTAAACAAAGAATTATACTTCATGCACGGACCGTCACTGAGCATTTGTACAAGTTTCTTTAGCCATTTACTTTTTTGTTGCTTGTTATTTGTTGTATTTGACATTTTGAGTTGAGTGCAGCAGATGTTGCCGTACATTTGTTTTAGTTTTACTTTTCTTGTTCATGTAGACATGTCCATATAACTCCTCAATGAGCCACACAGTGTTTGAGGTCTGGGTTGGTTTCCACCTAGTCAGAAAAGTATCTTGGTGTTTTTGAGTTGGTTTAGTTAAATCTGAAATTGACTCCCATTCAGTTCCAAACAGCAAATAAAACACCTGATGTTTTCTAATTCATTCAGTAAAGGTATAATCCATCCCTGTGATCAGAAGGCCAATATCAGGATGTGACTTTTACATTTTTAATAAACTGGACAGACAAAGGTTGAGACTTTGAATGTGCTATTATTCTAAATATAACCAAAACAGGATTTTAATGAATTTAGAGCAATCCATTTTAAATAATCTGTGGACTGAATCAGAGGAAGTGCTGAATTAGTCTCACTGCTCCTCTGTAATCCCTCCACGATGACGCAGGGTGCTATTAAAGTCCATGATACTCAAACCAAATAAATTTGTCTCCGTTTGGGACTAAAAATATCCTTTTCTGGGTTTTCTTTCATGGTTCAGGAAACAGCTGTCAGACAGTCAGCTGAGTGGCGCAACTGCCCAGGAACGCTGGCCGAGAAACCACAGGAATACTTCACATTCCTGCAGGTAGTAGGTCAGTACACACACACACACACACGCACACACACACGTTCTAAACTCATTCCTAATTTTTCTGTTGTTAAACCAGAGCTATGCTACAAAGCTGTAAAACGTTCGGTCCAGCTGGATGGATGATCTAATGATCTGGAGCTTAATCTTTGGCCAACGTTATAAGTGAAACTTTTCAATGCAGCTTGGTTGTGTACAATTGAATTTCATCAGAGTTGGTCTATTCATTACCCTCCACAATTAATTTGAAATGGTAATTGTTTCCTTAATTGTTGCCTTGAATTATTGATAGTTTAGCTGATCTTAATCATCACAAGACACGAAACCCACTCACTGTAAAGTCAAAGTAAACATTACAGATTAAACTTTTATCAGATATACTGAAAGTCACAATGTGTAACTGAGTGATCTCTCTCTCACCAAAAAAAAAAAGATCGACAACAGGGTGTTCAATCAGAAATCATTTTTATTCTAAATCAATCAGCTGTGAAAACATGATCAGCAGAAAAATCTCTTCACACCATCTGATCTGTGATGATTTTGATGCAAATAAATGGTGATGGTTACCTCCAAAGCACCAAATACCATCTGCCATGTTCATGTCCTATCAGAAATGTAAGCATCGCTGTATGGTATCATGTGCGTGACGATAATCGTATACGGTCTATGACCTTGTCAGTGAAGGAAGTCCAGGCCCTGATGATTGATTGTGTGGCATAAAGCATCCTTGATACTGGCACCTCCATATATGTCATATCCAGTAAAGACTGTGCAAGCTTCTGGTGCAATGAGAGATCTAAAGAGCAGGTATCATTCACGTAGATCAGATAAGGTTTTAGATACAATTTTTCCAGAAATGCACTACCCCTGGACAGTTCCAATATATGTGTAGAAAAGACTGTGTGTCCCCATTAGGGCAGAGCTCACAGTCAGGAGAGAATATGAGCTTCTCCAGATAGAGCAGACATTTTAAGTGTATCAGTTTGTGGTTGGGATTTTTGGAAATACGATCTAAATTGTTCCAGACTGTTAACCAAGAAATGTCGTCCACAGAACAACCGAGATCGTACTCCAGATATGATGGACTGCCAGAGGTTTGCAGATAGAAATGAAGAGATACTAAGCTTCTGGTTCAGCCTCTCATGTCTACCAGAGAATGGAGTGAATGAGTTGTTTCAGCTACAACACACGGGACGCCATGGGTTTCCCATTTGTAAATAACATTCACATAAACATCCAAGTAACAATTACAGCTGGGAAATTTTTCTAGAAGCTCCAAAACATCTGATCTAATATGTTAGTGCCTGAAAACCAAACAAATCAGCAAACATCAGTCAAAGGCCTAAATTTACTGGATATGTTATATTGTCATTGCACAGTATTGTAATTTCACACAACCAACCGTGTATAAACCGTTTTAATGACGTGAACCCTTGCATGTCGTTAACATGAGAATCTTTCCTATCCATCCCATATGACATGAACATGGCATCATACAATCTGGCAATAGCACACAGTTTATTACTTAAGTGGTAATTCCTTGTTGTGAATTGTTAATGACAGTTTTTAAACACTGCAATTCAAAACATGAGCTACGACAGTTTTGGTGATCTGCCAGTTTGTGATATTTTTTTATTTCTGCAAAAACTTCAACAAAAAATAAATTTCCTTCACAGAGCGGATTTTGTGAAATCCTTGTTTGTCATCTTACCCAGAGAAAGATTGACATCTCATCTCTTTGTGTACATTTAAGGTGTAACATCTCATAACTGACTGAGCTAGGCTAGGCTAGCAGTTTCCTCCTGTATCCAATGTTTATGCTAAGCTAGGCTAAACACTTCATACTGGATACACAGACATGACAACAACTATCAATATTCAATTTGATATCACTATATTCTACAATAACATTGTATTGAACAGTATTGTCTATATGCTACATATTTAGCTAATCACGTCAAACTGTATATTATCTCTGTTTCTGAACGATTAGCATTTTGCTAGCAGCAATCCATTCAAAAAGTAAGAGACGGATTAAAAAAACACAAGCAGATGTTAGATGATGTTATGCTATGTGATTGCATTGATTAATTTTATTTAATGGAACAAAAGTAAAGCTAATTAGCTTAATTAGCTTCTGTCTAGGGAAGATTTTATTTCTGGCCAACTTGTTTTTAGGGATTTTTGCAGCCAGAAACTTTTCTCTCCTACACCGTACTCTCTTCTTTGACCGATAGGATTATATTCTTTTTTTTTTAACACCTTTTTAACCAAAATACAAAAGTTTATCAGGATTACAACTAACACAAAGCAGCATTCAGCAGCAGCAGAGATCAATGATCATGAAAGAGTCTAAAAGCATAATGAGTCTGCAGTTTGACTGAACATAAAGGACAAGAAACTAAAGACAATTACACTTTTGGTAGTAAAATAAAACTTTCAACTTGCACAATTAGTACAACTACTGAAAAGCAGAGGGTTGAAATCTAGAAAAAAAAAATTCAGCAGAGCACTAGTAATTACTAATTAGTTAGTTTTCCAGCCTTCTACCTGTCCAGTTCTCTGAGGTCTAAGTTAACCAATAAGATTATTTGTGCCTGAAGTAAATGTCAACAAGTGAAACACAAATCTACACTGATACCATCTTATTTGTTAATTTACTCATCAGTTTCCTAAATTGTCAGGCCTGGTCCTCCGTACTGTGAGCTGCTGTTTGTTTCTGCAACACTCGAGGCTGAAACCAGCACATCTGGCTCCCGTTACTGTCAGTACTTTAAGTGCTAATAAATCAACAAACTGTGTCTTTAAGTACTTTAAACACTTTTGTGTCAACTAAAAATTTCGTTAAGTACTTGAAACACCAGTAGGGCTCAGCTGAACAAGTCTTTGAGTATTTCAACGTCAGCTAAATGTCTTAAGTATTTTAAACACAAATATATCAACTGGACATTTTGTCTACTTATTCCGTGTTATTTATTCATTACTTCTTTCTTTTGTTTAATGTAAAACAAGCGAACCAACCACAGTCAATATTAATAAGATTTACTGTATTAATGTTTTTACTGCTTCACTGTACCTGAAGCATCTTGTCATTGTGTTTTTGAGCAGTGCTAAAACTTCTTAAAACTGAACATCATATTGTGTCTCAGTGCTGGCAGGGTGTTTCCAGGTTTTGTCCGCACTTCCAGCAGCAATAATGATGATGATGCCACGTCTGTCCGTCTTTCGCCGAGTGAAAAGACTGGCAGAAGATCAACTGAGGAAGCAGAACAGAGACAATATGTAATTTTGTATAGTGTATTATGGTATGATGTTGTACAGTATGGTACAGGACGGTGTGATTGTCCTTGATGATGTCATCTCACCTCATCACAGCCTGAGCATCGCGGCCAAACCGTCTGACAGTAGTGTCGTCCACACAGCAGTTTCTGATTGGACCAGAAGTAGACCAGGTCCACCAATCCCTGGCCACACTCTGAACATACGAAGCAGGTTGGATGCCACAGGGCGCTATGGTAACCTGCGCGCTCAGCGTAAACAGCTGGACTCTCCTTGTCAACCTCACCATGGCAACCAGTACACCGCTAGAGGACAGAGAGAGGACACAATGTGAAAGCGAAAGGTCATGTGGCAAACTACTGGGACACATTTTGTGTTTCTAGATCAGAGAGACTCGTGGTTCACATGAATGGGCTCGGAAACATTGGAGTGAGGCATTTAGGGGGAACGTTCAGTGTTACACAATGTAGTAGGAATGTGATAAGTACAAGCAACTTTTTTGAAGGAGGGCAGGTTGGATGAGGCTGGAAGTCAGTTAAGAGAAACAGTAAGAGATCCAAAGTCCTTTAAGAAATAGAAGTTACATAAATATAACTAATACATGGTTAAGGTTGGGTGTTGTTCTAAATGTTTCCATATCGGTGCTGACACCGATACCTTGACTTCGTTACAGATTCTTATCAATACTTTTTTCAATACCAAATCTATCAAATCCATTTTAACAAAAAGAAAATTACAATACACATTATGGTAAAAATTATAGTTTTACTTTAGTTTTATTTGTTAGCTCAGTTGAAATGTGTTTGTGTGAATTAGCAGCCAATCACCAGTGTTATTAGATCTCGGTTCAGCATGCTGCATGCTTATTGGCTCACTGACGCTGATGAGATTTACTACTTTAATCCTTAGGTATTGAAATTTGATATTGAATGACGAGGCATTTTTCAATCCTGAATATTATCAAACCAATTCGGCCGATCCATAAAAGTATTGAAGTTCGATACCCAGCCCTGTACGTGGTTACTGTCCCACACTTTACATACATTTTCTGAAGTTCCTTATGAGTCAGGGGTTTTGTTCTTTTGGTATTTTTAGTGATACACCATGCACTTGAATGGGAGCAGCCAGTAGTGCACCAGTGCAATTTTTACCATAAAATTTAAATTTCAAAGATGTCAGGCGCCTCATTTACTCACATATTCAGTCTTAACGCTTTCGTCCGTGCCGTTAGTGGAACCAGTAGCGGAGGAGGCGCTGCTATTGGTCGAGCTGGTGTCCTGGCGCTCCAGAGCGTCTTTCTTGTCGCTGTTGCTGCGATCCTTGGCTTCCTTTGCTGTCCTTTGAACGGCTGCGTCCCCCAGAGCTCCGCCCTCACCAGGTAAGGCCACCTCCCCGACTCCCAGCACCTCCTGTTTGTAGTGCTTCACAAACAGCAGCATTGAGGAAATCTGCAAGAAGACGTTGGAGAAGTTCGAGACTCAACCAGTAACAAGAACACGTTGTTTCATCAGACTTTTCCTTCAGGTGCAAGTTATTTTTCAACCACAAAAACCATTATTAGTAAACTGATTTAAGTAATATGGGTCTGTTGTTTGTGCTTGATGATCATGAGTAATAAGAAGTGTGTACTGTACCTCCTCCTCACTGGCCAGGCTCTGACACTTCATGGGGTCCTGATCGTAGACTGGGAGCTGGCTGAGGAGGTGCCTGTGTCGCTCCAATGCTCCATTCGTCCCTGAGAGTGGACGTTGATTCTCTGGGATGAGCTCCATGTACTGCATGGCCTGAGGAGGGTGAGGGATGTTTTTATAATATTACAGAACTGCAATTTTAAAAACGCTGTCAATTTAAATTCTCTTCATTTCGGCCTTCCCACCACTGAAATCTTAGCTTGCCAATCACACGCTGTAAAGTGAATGAAGTAGATAACACTGGTCTCACGTCACAGTGTAGATGAGCTGTGCAGAAAACATGGATTTCCTTTCAGTAGCATGGCTGGATGCCAAACTTCAGCTTTGAAGAAATGTTCACAAGACTTTGTCAGTCTGTGATTCAGTTGTCATCGCGCTGTCCAGGTGTTGTCGGTGACACATCTGTGTGTGTCTCCAGATGAGTGTGATAGTGACTAACGGTCTGGAGCAGCAGACTCTACACGCTGCAACAATCATTTCACAGCAGGGAACAAACACACGCTGAGGAGCTTTAGAGACATCTGGAGAGCAGTCTCACTGTTGGGTCTGTCTCTACTAGTTCAACCACAGTAATGTCCCCCGCTACTCCCCCACCGCACCGCGCTGCTCCATAATCACTGTCATCATCATAATTATAGGCTGCGAGACCTGAAACATACTTGAGCCTGTTTTTAATGGAAACCAGACACTCGAGATGTTTCAATATGTAGAGCGGTCTGCAGGAACTGAACTGACCTGAACTGAACTAGTGAGTAAAGCGTTGTTCTAAAAACAAGACCAGGCGTAAATAAAGGGCAAACTAAACATTTCTGCATCTTGTTATAAATTTCAAACCAACTGAAATAATGGTGGAATATCAATAACAGTACAGATGAGCCTGATTCCCATCCCAAACATGCAGTTGCATCTGACTTGACACCAATCACAGGCAACCAGTTTCCTGTCCAACAGGAAACACGCCAGGAAGATCTGTCACGATTAATCAGATGTCCAGCCTGTTTAAAAGTCTGAAGACTCAAAGCTTCTCTTTTCACACATCTAACTTATCATATTTAATTTCAGAAAGAGAATCAAACCACCGTTCTACATACAAATAAACACAAACCAAAATAATTCCTACTGTTAGAGTCGCAACACAAACCGAATCTGCACTTTATGGTACAGGTAATTTAAACATTTGCTTGTGGTATAGATCACCTGCTTAAACTGTGAGTTAATTTTAAAAACCTGATTTATTTTGTGCAGTAGCTTTGTCAGTCAGCGTCAGTCAGCGATCCTCACCAGTTTCTGGTTGAGGCCGGCCGGCGCCCAGTCGTAGGTCGTGGTGTTGAAGGTCGGGTCTTTGCGCGACACCACTGGATTTGTCACAATCATGCGGTTCCTCTTGTACATGCGAAGGCCGCCACCTCCTTTAACCTTCGCTGTCAAATGGGAGCAGGGTGAGTCTGCGAGCAGGCGTCCCATCCGCTGGTCATCTTCGAGATCACCTCCAAGAGCGTGGTCCACCGTGCTGCAGCCGCAGGCCATACAGGCTTTCCTGCTCAGCGGAGAGGTGAAGGTGAATGGGAAGAATGAGAGAAAAGAAGGTACTGAGCTACGGAAGAAAATAAAACTACGTTACATAACCAGCTTGTGGAGAATTTGAGGGATTAAAGTCCAGATTTTTTTTTTAATTGGCTGCTCCTAACCAGTTTGGCTAAAATATGCAAAACCACAAGCATGTTTCAATCCATTCATTCCTTTCATTGTTTTTCTTTTTGTTTCGTTTTTCATGCGAAAATAAATCATTAAAAAAATGGGGTTGTACCTCCAAGAATGTGGCTGAAATCCAGAGCAGCTCTCTTTACATATGAGACACACCGCTGCTACACCTCCTGCTCCTCCTGCACTCTGCTTCATAGACATCTGAGAGGAGACACAGTTAAGTTTCTGCATTATAAACAACCAACAGTGAGAGCATCAAAGGTCAGAGGTCACTACAGCCCACACTCCTGCTGCCCCAAATACTAACTAAAAAACCAAATGTGTATTAATCCACAGCTGGAAATAGTCCCCAACAAAAGCACAATTCACTCCAGTTTGAGTATTATAAACTACAGTGACCAGCTGTTTTAGGAAAAACCGAAACTTTTGAAGACATTGCATAATATATCTGTCAGCTGTTTTTAAAGATACAATATCTTTGGTTGGAGTCAACGGACTTGGAGCCGAGAACCACAGACATAGCAAGGAAGTCAGGAAGTACTGATAGACGGACACATCGTTGGCATTGGTCTTTTCATGGAGTCTTGACAATAAGGAAAATACAGAGGGAAAAATGTTTTAAGTATTATTTTTTTTGCTGGCAGAAATGAGCTTCCATAAATCTGAGTCTGTTTGATTCCTCTGAATCTGATGAGGAGTCAGTTTGACCATTAATATTCTACTTTTTCTTAACGCATTAAAGGAGACATTTTTAAAGAGTTTTAATGTGCAGTTCTTCACTTTAAAGTGGAAGAGAAACCCTGATAATAATAACTATGAACTAAAACACTAAGAATGAAAGTTCTTTCTTGACAGAATAATCTTATCTTTTAGCTTTTCCAGTTTTAATAAATGTCTGCTGTCAAGGACTGTTCTGGGAAGAAGCTGGTATGTGGACCATGAATTAACCAAAACGTCATCTCACATTAACCTGAAAACTGAACAAGTGTAACATTAGTTTGTTTGATGGTAACAGTAATTTACTGCACTGTTTTGAAAAACAAAGCCAAACACACACAGCGTTAACGGAAAAGGTCGTTGGCAAGAAAAAATCACTTCTGACTTTCCTGAAATGAAAACATTGATAATGTCGAATAGATTCATGAGGATGTTTTGGAGAAAGAAGAGTTGTTGTTTTGAACGTTTCTCAGTGAGAGTGGGAGGAAGAGAAGGGAGTGAATACCAAACACACACACACACACACACACACACACACACACACATACACACTCACAGAGACGCAGGGTGCATGATCTCATTGATCCACCCCGTGATATCATCTGTACTGACAAACCCTCCGGAGTCTTATCTGTCATCCAAACACTTCATTTTTTTCCTCAGCTCTACAAACTCTTAAGTCACTTCTCCTCTTTCAATGTTTCCTGATTCACTCCGCTCCTTTCTCTTCCTGTCCTCGCTGTGCCCCACCTTTATTTTCCTTTTTCCCTTTCATTTAAAAAGAACATGGCCACAGTCTTCTTCCATGCTTTACGCTGTTACTGTGGCCTTCACTATTTTCTCTATGGGAGTCACACTGGCAGGACAGAGCAGGTCTGGTTGCATATTAAACACGAGGGATTCCTGGAGGACAATGCTGCCTCATTTTCCTCAATTATTTTAATTTTATTTTGAAGACCTGTCACGTCCCGCTCTGTGTCTGAAGGTCATGTTTTGATTCTTTCATATATTTTCATTATTTCCTGTTTTATTTTGTGACACTCACGTCCTCTCGTTGCAGACCCTTTACTTTCTGCCCTTGTGCGTTTCCCGCTGCTGTGATTGTCTGCCCCACCCTGACTGGCTTCACCTGCGTCTCGTTGTCTTCCCCCTCCCAGTGTGTTTAGTCTCTGTGTTCCTCTTCCTCTGTGCCAGTTTGTCTTTGTCTCATACGTTCCAGTCATTATTCCTAGTGTTAGTCTTTTTAGTTAATGACTTTATTTACTACCTATAGGATTTGTTTGCTTGGTTTCTGTCTGCCTACCCCATCACTGAACTCTGCCTGTTTCTGAGTCATGCTGTTGAGTCCTCATCCCTGTGGTTACACCAGTGTTACAAGACTGGGGTTAAGGTTAGGTTTAGGGGAGAAGTGTTTAGGGTTAGTGTTAGGGTACGTTTCCAGGAAATGAGTGAAAAGCCTGTTCATGGCGGGAATGCTACACCTGTATTCACACCTGTAGGTACAAACACAGAAGGTTGTTCTCTGATTATGGAAAGACAGCATTACGTCGGCTTTGTTTGAATCAGTGTAAACAAGAAACAACGGCATAACGAGGGGCCTTCTATAGTCAATGCAATGTCCTCTGAAGTGATGAAAACATGACTCTGTGTGTGTGTGTATGTGTGTGTGTACACAGGAAACAACACTCAGAGATGACAGTGTTTTTAAAACCTCTGGCATGAAACCTGATGACTGCTCTGCTAAAACAACCTCCTGCTATCTGTCTGACAGACAGATGGATCGTCCACCTGTCCGTCTGTCACCAGGTATCAACAAGCCGGTCTCTCCCAAAGGAGGCATTCATACACATAACATGTCGTATATTTATAGAGCGAGAGACACAATGATGAACCCCCACAATGATGAAGTGGGTATAACAGCCTCAACAGCATCAGTGAGGTCCAACACTGATGCTGGGTGATATGTTCTGGCTCGCAGTCGGTGTTCCAGTTCAGGCCGAAGGTGTCGGACGGGGTTGAGGTCAGGGCTCCGTGCAGAGCCAGTCAAGCTCTTCCACACCAAATTGGGAGAATGATTTCTATATGGACTTGACTTTTTGCACGGCGGCGCTGTCACGTGTAACAGGACAGCATCTTTCCCAAACTGTAAACACACTAAATCCTAAATCCTGTAACATTAAAGGAAAATTTTGATATTTTAGGAAATAGGCTTATTTGCTTTCTCTGGCTGAGAGTTAGATGAGAAGAATGATTCCACTCTCAAGTCTGTGCATCTCACTCTGAACAGAAAGAAATTATTAAGTGGATTTCCCAAAATGTCGAATTATTTCTATAAGATTTTTCTCCATTGGAAGTAAGAGACCCTGATCAGAAACCGAGGTGTCCACGTACTTTTGGCAATACAGTGTTCTTTTTTAACTGCACATTTTTCAATACACAAACAAACAGGGAAACTCCAGCGTGTGTTGTTTGTTGTGTTACTGACATGTCTTATATTAATGGCATTGACTGTCAGACATTATGAGAGGACAGACGGGTGGTCATTAGCAGTGAGGGAGGACACAGGAGTGTGTTTAGAGGTGTGAAGTGTGTGTGACAGTGAAGAGACCGCTGATCGGCACCGTGTTGAAAAGGTCACAGTGTTGACGGCTGGAATAGAAACAGCTGAAGAACAACAAGACTTCATTACATCCCTGTGGAATACACTGACTGACATGGTGTGTGTTTATTGTTATGTTACTGGGCTGACACAAGCTAACTGGCACATTTTGTGATCAAGCTTAAACCAGCTTTAAAGGAACGTTCCACTAAAACTCTGCTGCTGATAATGAGCGTCACATCTTAACATCTGAGACAGGGAGCACAGTTCCCTTGAGGTCCAGTTGATATAAAAGCCATTTGTTTATTGCTCTTGCTGGTGGCTCTGTGACTCTGCTGGGAGGAGCTTTTGAGTTACAGGAAGACCACAGATGACTCAAAAGTTCCTCCAAATAAGAAATTAACTTATTACTCAGCCTGAAACCAGACAGGACACAGCTGACGTGATGTAGGTAATTTTGTCTTGGTTGTGAACAAGTTACACTGAAGAAACTCTGACATTTCTTTCTGGTTTCAAAAACAACAAGTTTGCTTGTTTGGCTTCTTAAGTTCCTTTTTTATATTTACGTTTACTCATTAGGCGCTTTTATCCAAAGTGACTTACAAGTGAGGGACATCACTACAGCTTAAGTTCAATAGGAGACCTTGGTGTAAGTCCTTCGTCCATTTAACAAGTGCAAGGAGATCAAGTAAGTGCACTGAAAGAGGACATAAAAAATAAACGTGCAGGAGACTATAATCTCACTGTTGTTTTGTTGGCGATAAGAATAAGACGGACAAAACTCAAATGATTAAAAATTTGGTGGCAAAATGAGCAAGACAAATAAAGACTTCAGCACAAACATTAATTCTGTCAACTGTCACTGACAACCTTCAATCAGAGAGTTATCCTAACCACCAACACTGAACAGCACACTCTCATAAGTTGCTCTGAGTGAGAGAGATTTATAAGAGCCGAACTAGAAATGCATTTTTTCAGAAAGAGGGAAACGTGCAGCAGCTCTATATTTAGGAGTTAGATAAGACGAGTATGTTGTTGGTGGATCGACTCAGTTGAGCTGAGTAACTCCAAACATGTCAGCTATGTGACGGGGAAACTGCAGGAAACGCTGTGAGATAAGAGGCTGGAGGTCAGAGAGGGTTGAGTCGACCTGCTGCACTTTAACACCTCTGACACACGGCTTCCTGGATATTTCCCGTTGTTTTTCATTTAAATCCGAAAATGTCTCATATCGTATTTAGAGAGCACTTTGTCACTTGTTTTTCACTGTTTAAAATATATCAGAGGAGGACATTATAGGAGACATTATAATGATTTAAAATAAATAAATTATTGAAAATAAATCTTTACTCTCATTGAAACTGAAAGTGACCTCAGTGTAAACTGTCTTTGCTTTTTGTCTTTGTGATTGGGTTTATTTGTTACTGTATAATCTAATCGACAGTAAAAATCGGTTTTGATTTTAGTAATTGATTAACCGTTAAGTAATTTTTAAATGATCCAGCTCCAAAGTCTGGTTCAAATCCTGTTTGTTTTCAGTACCTGGAGCATCAGAACTGATTCTGCTGCAGTGAGCCATCAACAAAATCTATGTATGTGTTCATGTCTGGGTCTGAGTTCATCACAGACAGGAGGAGCCCTCCGACAGGTAGACGTCAGGCAGGGATGGAACGGCCCTCTACTCAATTTTTAAAAGAAAATTACAAAAGCAGTTAAATCATTAAAAAGGACCTTAAATAAAGAATTTGTATTTTTTCATTTATTCAAATTGACTCGATATAGTGGTCCACACCTGGCTGGTGTAGGCTGACACTGGGCTTACATGTGTGTGTGTATGTGTGTATGTGTGTGTGTGTGTGTGTGTGTGTGTGTGTGTGTTGGGGGTTATTTCTATCCTGGTGATGGCAGTTTTTCCATCACCAGGGTATGAAGGGGGGCGAGGGGATCAAACCCTGGACAGGTGACACTGATCCGTCAGGTTATCTGCCTCAGACTGATGTGACCTCTGGACAGACAACCAGAGGATGAATTAGGAGGGATCGTGGGAGACAGATCCCACCTAAACACCTGCCAGAGGAGACCCCGCAGGGGGATCAGGTGCTCGTGGTCATGGATTATTTTGAACAACTGAATTAGAAATTGGATGTGAACAAGCCTGAGAGATTCATCCAAACTGTAGACTTTAAAATATCAAAGAAAGACGATCGAAAACTCACAGAAAACTAGAAAAGTTCATGAAAATACTTCCACTCTTCAATTCTGTCCTCGAATTAATTTTGTATGAAATGTCTCAACAAAAACCTGAAAAGGTTGTTTAATTCTGATTTGTTTAAGTTTGCAGTCAAAAGCCTTGAAAAGAAGGCAAGAGGGACCATTTAGTATTTATTCCAATTTCTTGAATAAGATAAATAAATAAATAGTATATTTCTTTGTCAGTGATTTATGAATTCTGTTGTCGACAATAACGGTTTGAAGATTGTGAGAGATGCTTCATTTGCTCCATTTAGGACTTTCTCTCTTGGTGTAACACAGGTCACAAAGAAATGTTCTTAAGTGCATTAAAGATGTTATATAAATTCATATAGTATGTTTCCAGTACATTTGTATCCCTTAAGTACTTAAGTGATTAAAATATGCTTCAAAATATGCTGAAACAAAGCAGCACTTTAGTCTATTTTCCAATTATAATATGCAGGTCTCTCGTCGCTTGTGTGAATTTATGGTTTCTCGTAGGCCCATATAGACAGGACACAATAGTAAACTAAGTAATTCATTCATTCGTTCAGTCAGTAGGGTTAGGGTTGATGTAAATCAGTGCATAGTAATAAGAACTCATAGATCAAAAGATTATACAAATTGATATAAAACACCAGGTTAACTGCTTCTAACAACGGCTCTCACAGACAATTAAGTCTGATTATCAGGCTAACTGTTCACTTAACTCACTAAATCTTTTTATTCCAAGACAAGTGTTTCTCCAGATCTCCATCAACAGCAGAGTTTACATCACACCAAACCCTCTGACCCTTGACCCCCTCATGTCTGTTCTTAATCTCGCAGTATCTAATGAATGAAGAATTTCAGCGGTACAGATGTAAATGTTTCTGTCCTACCTTCGCCATGGCTGAGGTCACGTCCATGTTGTCCAGCGTCTGTCGGCCGTTTGGCTCCTCTGCTCTCTCTGCCTCTGCTCTTCCAGAACAATGGGGACTTTAAATTCCTCTCCTGTCGACCACACTTCCTCTCTCCCCGCCCACAGTCGCTCCTGCCGCCGCTCTGCTCCGCCGGCTCTCCACAGCCCACTGCAATTTAACCGTCTAGACTTTCATCTCAATCCTCCTGGGCAACATCAGCTCTCTTCTTCACTTTTAACTCTTGCTACAAAATCTTTTTTCCCTTCTCTACCTGGTTCCACACTTCACTTTCACACCCTGTTTTCCCTCTTTTCTGTCTCGTTTCTCTCCCTTTTTCTACTTTTATAAACTCACAACAACAAAACTCACCTTTCTCGTCTTAAGCTGTGCCCCTTTTTTCCTCTTCAGTCTTTTTTCCTCCACTCTTCCCTCCAGATTTGTCTGCTTGCCAGCTACTCCTTCTCCACCCTCTGCAACATGAACTGAGCAGGTTTCTTCACCTCCTGATTTTGCTCCAACATGCCGCTGAAGGGAAACTGATTTGTCTCCCAGCGTTTTCTGCCTTACAGCGAAACAGCAGTTCCCTCATTCACCTCTGCTTCTGCTGAGCGGGAAATTCACTCTACTTTGTTAAATTCTACAGGTGCCTGCAGCTGTAGACCTTATATCAGCAGACTGGCAGTAATGAGGGAGATTTATGGTCTTAAAAACAACAGCTGTACTGTTGGTAATGACTCCTGCCCTCTGCTGCAGAACAGATCAGACTGTTAGTTCAGTCCTGGTCTTCAGCGGACTGGAGGTCTACCTGGAGCAGCGAGGCCTGACTGGACTGTTTGTGTTTTTAATCTGAGACAAAGACAGAGAGAGCCCTGAGGGATTCCCTGCTCACATTCTGCCAGCCAATCAGAGTGAGTCTGAAAAAGTGCTCAGCCAATAGGAACATCCGAGAGTCCTCCTCCTCCTCTTCCTCCTCCTCTCAATCTGCAGCTTTTCAGTGTGTGGCTCAGAAGAATGTAGACCACATTGCCAAGCAGGGCCAAACTGGGCTGAACACAGCCTGGCAGGATACTGGTCCAGATGAGACCAAATGGTGCTTAACACAGCCAGGCATAGAAGCTAAAGAGCCAGGCAGGTCCACAAGAGGTTTAAAGTGATCCAGCCAGAGCCGAACAGAACCGAACAGAGCCGGGCTTGGCCAATAGAGATTAAGGACCAAGGCCAAACAGAGCTAAATAAATCAAATGGGTTTAACAGAGCCAGGTACGGCCTAAAAGGTAGATGTTAGTTCCCAAGACTTGGGAAAAGTGACTTCATGTCACATGATCAACCATGCACATCATGACCACATGGTCAGTTCATATCGTGCTCACGATTTACTCTGTAGTATTCTTGTTTTTTCAGAACTCCTAGTGACATTACATATCCATCACTGACATATCCGTCTGAAATTATTATACTCATGAAAACTAATTACATCTTTTACCTCCTCTACCTCATTTCTGTTCTTTCCTGCCTCTTCTACCAATCCTATCCACATGTGGAGCCTGTATGTTGATCTTAGAGTTAGCAATAATAAGATAATTTACTTCATTTACGCTGTGTAATACACAGTATAAATGAGTTAAGTAAACAGTTGTGTTTACAATGCTATAACAATGGATACTAGGTCCTCACTGAAGACATTGTGCACTACATGTATAATTACTACAATCATTAGGGTCAAAGGATGTCGACAGATGAAACGTTAGATTTCAATCTTGTATGTTTTCTGGCAGGAACTTTTAGAGTCAGAAAAGTGAAACCACAGAGATGCAGCACGAGATTCGACATGTTTAAACAGCACTTGATAGAATAAAGTGGGGCTAATAAGAGCCAGTCAGACAAGAATGCACAGGGCTAAACAGAACCAGACAGAGCCATGAAGAGGTGTGCAGAACCATGCTAATAAGAGTCAGAAAGGACACCTGGGCTAAACCAAACTAGGCAGGAACAAACAAGTTTAAACTCAGCCCGACGGCACCACCTAGGGGGCAACAGGGGCAACAAGGTTAAAAAGAGTATGACATCACTTATTTTTCACTTGATGCTTTCTTTTACATTCCCAGTTCTGCAGTGGCATTACATCTGATTGTTTGATACTATTTTTAGCTAAATTAGAGGCGTGGTGTCATGGATGGCTGGTCCACCACTTTGGTCCTGTGGTGCACACTTTGGGCTGGTTGAGCTCAGGCAGACTGGGCAGGATAGCTGTGGCCTGCCTCCTGTGCAGGCAGTGTTATGACAGTCTGTAGTCTGTCTGTAGAACACAGAACTGTTGACTAAACACCTGCCACCACACCTTTATAAAAGGCGTGTTCACGTTAACTGTGCTTGCGTGCACCTTATGGGTGTGTGCTATGTGCGTTCCTCATTCAACAGGCGTGGATATTAAACGACGCGAGTGATGTGCTGCACTTTGTGCCCAGTTTGTTCACTATTCAGCAGCTGACCACACTCAAATCAGGTCACAGAAAGAAGGTGATACAACACTGGTACAACTGGGATTGTTGGAGTACTGGACTCAACCTGCAGCTGATTCCACATTATAAACATAACATTTACAGGAGCTAAGACTCAAACGGAAACTAACTTTCAGTGAACTTTCTGGATTGACTGGCTTCTGCTTTCATTGTTCTGCCTGCTGTGTTTCCTGCTTCACTCAGCGACAAAATGTCTTCTCAATCAGAAAAGGATCTGTCCTGTCCTGTCTGCCATGATATCTTCAAAGAGCCAGTTGTTCTGTCGTGCAGCCACAGCTTCTGTAACGACTGTCTGCAGAGATGGTGGACAGAGAAACTGATTCACGAGTGTCCACTTTGTAAGGAAATATCTTTTCTGAATGATCCGCCTCGTAACTTGGTGTTAAAGAATCTGTGTGAGGCCTTTTTACTGGAAAGAGATCAGAGAGCTGAGGCTGAGGCTGAGCCTCTCTGCAGTCTGCACTCTAAGAAACTCAGACTCTTCTGTCTGGACCATCAGCAGCCAGTTTGTCTCGTCTGTCGAGACTCAAAAACACACAACAACCACAGATTCAGACCCATCGATGAAGCTGCACAGGATCACAGAGAGGAGCTCCAGAAATCCCTGAAGCCTTTACAGGAGAAACTGAAGCTGTTTGAACAAGTTAAAGGAAACTTTGATCAAACAGCAGAACACATTAAGGTCCAGGCCCAACACACAGAGAGGCAGATTAAGGAGCAGTTTAAGAAGCTTCATCAGTTTCTAGAGGAGGAAGAGGAGGCCAGGATCACTGCTCTGAGGGAGGAAGAGGAGCAGAAGAGTCGGATGATGAGGGAGAAGATTGAGGCTCTGAGCAGAGAGATAGCAGCTCTGTCAGATACAATCAGAGCCACAGAGGACGAGCTGAGAGCTGAAGACGTCTCATTCCTGAGGAACTACAAGGTTACAGTGGAAAGAGTTCAGCAGCGCCCCCTGCTTGATGATCCACAGCTGGACTCAGGAGCTCTGATAGATATGGCTGAACATCTGGGCAACCTGACCTTCAACATCTGGAATGGAACAAGATGAAGGAGATGGTCTCCTACAGTCCTGTGATTCTGGATCCAAACACTGCTTCATCCAGAATTGATCTGTCTGAGGATCTGACAAGTGTGAGACGAGGAGAGAAACAGAAGCTTCCTGAAAACACAGAGAGGTTTAAAGATCCACCATTTGTGTCCTGGGCTCAGAGGGATTTCACTCAGGGATTCACAGCTGGGATGTTGAGGTTCAAATGGTAAATCCTGGTCCTTGGTGTGGTAAGACAGTTTGTTCTTGGAAAGGGAAAAATACAAAACTCAGTTCTGGGAAATACGTCTCCTTGATGGCAAATACATTAGCATCTCACTACCACTTTCCAATAAAAGTTCTCTCATGAAGAAATAAGCCCCAGAGAATAAGAGTTCAGCGCTGGGACTGTGATGGAAGACAGCTGTCGTTCCTATTGATTCTTGATACTAACATCACACAATACACACCTTTACCATAACATAGACACTTTCACTAGACACTTGTTTGGGCGTTGAGGCAGTTTGTTGGGCTTGTGCCGAGTACATTACGGAAACGACAATGAACTCCCACTTAAGATATTACCAGTGCAGTCCTCTGTAACAGTGGAGCAGTGCACAATCCTGTATCAACAAGTCTCTGGCAGAGTTTCTCTATGCTATTAAAACTAGGCCACAGACATGCTCAATGCTCCAGTTCTGCTATACATGTTCTATGAGTTTAGATGAAACAAAGACAATGTTTTATGCAGTTTGAACGTTTTTTGTCTGTTAGTTGACAGGTTTTCAACACAGGGTAAATTTCCATTATATGAATTGAACATGAAAGGAGAGGAGTGGTGAGTGTGTCAGGAGGATTAAAGAGAACCATGTTCATGGGACTTTTTAGGACTTAGTTGTGTCAAAAAATGTACTGATGGTTTTTAAATGAAAAAATGATAGATTTCATAGGATGTTGTTAGTGTTATTGATTTTCCTTTTTTGTTCGTGTGGTCGATGATGATACTTGATACTGGAGACAGCATGATTATGATAATGTTCATCCTCTCAGTGATGATAAGAGATAAGGTTACAGATGTTATCATGGACAGTATGTATGCATATAGTAGAGCTCATTTTGATAACTGAATATTTGCTGCTCACAGAGGATATTTGAATTTTAAGAATAAAATGCATAATATAAAATAATATATTGCCAGATTAATATTTTGTATATAAATATATAGTTATAAATGATTCATTTTATAATATCCCTCAAGTCTGTGAGCATAAGATCAGAATCAATAATTTTATTTTATAAATGGCTTGTTTTGCATGTTTTCCTTTTAGCTACCTTGCCAATAACTTCTACTGGTTGTTAACCTAGTATTCTAATGTCTCTGTTTAAGTCACATGCTTCTCTTGTTCTCGAGAACGGAGCTGTACTCATATTTTACTGTAAAGGGTGTCATTATAATGATCTGACTAAAGTAAAGAGTTTTT